TGATATCCGTGTGTTTAATGCATAATACACACAGTTGCAACGCATATAATTTGCTTATCACACAGGGTGATTATGTTGAAGAACTTTATAACACAAAACATTTCTTATTAGAAAACATTTTATGGTGGCTCAATTTAAATATGCTAATATCTGCTGGTCACCTGGTGACATGATTATGCCATTGTTCTGATAACATATTAGGTGACTTTTAAATGTTATTTGTACTGCCCAAATCACAAATCACAAATCTGGACTTATGTTTCGATAAATTACAGCTCAGTCGCGCCCCCTTATGATCATATAGGAACATTGAAGGCCCCCCTCCCTAAATGGTTTGTACCTTCTTTGTTTTCAATTAGGTGCATTATAATAAATTGACTCTATAAATATTAGTTTTTCTTTATAAAATAAGTACATATATACCTTTTTAGTGAAACTAAATTAGCTTTGTGCTGTTTTTGTCGTGTTCACGTTGCCTGTTGAGCTGGAACAGACTTCAAAACCCACCTCTTCAAACGCAAACCCCTACATGACTCATTCTCCTGTTTTCTCTAGTTCAATTTTACATTTATTTTTTAGTGTTTCCCTTCCTTTACATTTACAGTGTAAAGTGTGTGTGTACCAAGAAAACTAAAGTATTATTATCATTATTATTAATTTACACTTTACATTTGAATGAGCTTTTAATGGACTAATATCATGCTTTTCTACTCTACATGTTATCATTACACACTGTTGAGAGGAGCTACCATGCACCCAAATCATCATCATTAACTACCATTCACACACCGGGGTCACAGCTACGGGAGCAATGTTGCCGTTAAGTATCTGGTTCGTGGACTCTAAGTCGGGCAAGAGGTTTCTGAGCTCCTTCCCTGTGGCAGGAAGCTGCAGTCCACCAGGACCAGGACCTTCTTCCATCTTCCCCTCATTACATGGTCTCATAAACCAAGTCGGACTCCCCCACTGACCCAGACAGTAGTTTCTCACCTATGGAAATATATGTATATACTTCATCTCACATCATACATATGTTTTTGAACGTACTTATCTTGTTTTTCCTATTTCATTTCTGTCTTTTCTATCTTATTTTATTAATATGTCATGTCGTAACATGTCTGTGTGGGTTCTCTCCGGGTACTCGGCTTCCTCCCACAGTCCAGGATCAGGTTGATTGGTTACTCTAAATTGCCCGTAGGTGTGTGCGGATGAGTGTTAGCCCTGTGATTGGCTGGCGACCAGTCCAGGGTGGACCCTGCGGCCCCTCTGTGACCCTGTGTGCACGATAAGTGGTTTGAGGATGGATGGATCCAGTTCTACTGCTGCAAATGTGTAAAAACAGTTCATGACTTTTTAATATTTTTAATATCATTCCCTAGCGAGAATTTCAACTTATTCCAAATCAAAGAAAGAATATAACTTGTATGAAATTTCTTCTGCTTTTCTTCTCCTGTGTTAATCCGTTTCTTAAAAGCATAAGAATTGGATGTATTAGAGAGGGAAGCCGTGTGATCCCTGCATGGCTGTGAACCGTTCTCTCTTTGTCTGCCAAAGGAGAGTTGTGTCCTGCCTGAAGGACATGGAAGGACAAACAGGTGTGTCTAGAGCAGAGAGATTAAACTCTCTTTGATTGTGTGAGTCTATTGAATGAAGAACACACATTCCGAGAGAGATTCAGCATTTAAGCACCTTTCACAGCTTCAGGCCCAAGGACATAAAACAAAATGGACTATTGTTTGACTCTATTTTGGTCTCTTTACTTAGTATGTCTGTAGAGGATAAAGTTCTGCTGCTTTTGATGTTGCTCCCACCGTCGCTTTGATTAATACAATACCCTAAATGTATTACTGTTAAATAATTATATACTATAATACTATCTCCACAAATAAAAAAAACAGTTCAACTTCAGTCTTCTTTAAATCTTCAAGTTTAAGGGATTGTCTCTAAAGGTTAAATAGTGAGACAGATGTCAATTAGCTTGTATATTTTATGTCTGGGTCTGGCTACATAGGCTATTGTATATACATGGTGATGGTTATACTATTAAGCTAGTGGTCGATGCTAACATGCTAATGACGCTAGGATGTGGCTAATGTGGTAAAGCGGTGATGGTTGACGTGGTAACATGTGGTTGATGTAGTAAAGCGTTGATGGTTGACTTGGTAACATGTGGTTGATGTAGTAAAGCGGTGATGGTTGACTTGGTAACATGTGATTAATGTAGTAAAGCGTTGATGGTTGACTTGGTAACATGTGGTTGATTTAGTAAAGCGGTGATGGTTGACCTGGTATCATGTGGTTGATTTAGTAAAGCGGTGATGGTTGACGTGGTAACATGTGGTTGATGTAGTAAACGGTCATGGTTAAGGTTGTAATGTGTGTGTAACCGGCAGTGAAATGTTCCTCCTGACCTACCGTAGGGCTGGTTAGACCCAACCCCCTTCTTGCTTCCTGGTAACCAATTAGTGTCCCCCCAACATGCAAGCCTCACATAAATTGTATTAGTTTTCCCCTCCTCTTCCCATGTGGTGAGTCTGAATCATAGCTTGCAGGTAGGTCATCTTTGCTGTGGGTTTCTATGAAGGTAGATCTGTGTCTTTATTATGCAAACAAAAAAACTGTTTTGAGAGTAAATGTATGGATCGACTAGGCGCTCGGCGTGTGCTTCCACAATTAAACACTGACGGGAAGTTTCATCATCCCCTCCTGCTAAGCAGCCATCATGTTCAACAGCACTCCCAGGCCCGGCTAACCCGCATGTCGTTGTGTCCTTGGACAAGACACTTAACCCAACATGGCTCCTGTAGCTGCGACTACAGTGTGTGGATGTTAGTTACTGATGGCAGGTGTCACTGTGTGTGGTTCTCCTGTCATCAGTGTATGAATGGGTGAATGATGTCATGTAGTGTTAAAGCGCTTTGAGTGGTCAGAAGACTAGAAAAGCGCTATACAAGTACAGTCCATTTACCATTACCATTCACTCACGTTGTGGTCTTACACGGGTATAAAAGAGATCTACCAAGACGAAGATGAGAGAAGGTTATCAAATTCTAGCCGGACACTTTACAGATATATGTAAGTACAGATATATAGATATATTTACAGATAAGACATTTCACAGTTCATGCAGGGAGGTTTCCTGGAGCGATCTCTTCATTGGAGTCTTTACAATCTGAACGAACACGTCACAGATGTATAAATAATGATTGGTTTCTTTGTCATATGCAAAATGTTGGAGGACCTGTATGTATGAATTAGAGAACAGTGTGGATCCGTGTGTGAAACACAGATTACTTTATCTTTGTCTCTGTTTTACTGTGATGACATGTATGTTATCCTGCAGTGAATGTAGAGAGTCACGGCACCTGCTTATTAACACAACATCACTTTATTCCCTCCTACAGAAGGTATCTGTACATTTTCCTTGGCTGGTAAGACAGGTTTAACATCCTGTTGTCATGGGATGAAGATAATAGTCACAGCCTGTAGGCTTACAATAATGAACAGATACATGACACAATAAATCATCTTAACATGTTGCAGCAGCTGGAAGTAGCCCCAATAGCCTGGAGGGGAAGGTATCCCCTTCACAATAAAAATGGTGTCTGTTGAAAGGGAGCCTTGTCACTGACTAATGCCTCTGTTGTTATGGAGTTCCTGTTTGCTGTAAGGCACGCCTGCAGCAGTATGTCACAAACACAACCATGTTAACAATGTTCATTCATTATTATTGATTATGTCAGATAATTACTTAAAACACAAAAGGACAACTTTGACTGTTTTGTGCAAAGAAATGACATACTATCAACCCATAAAACGTAACCCACATATGTAACATTATACCATCTAAGCATCATTCTATTCTACATGGAAATATGAAATATCTTATATTTGATATATTATGCTGACATATTTCACAGGTCTTATAGCCAACATCTGTTCAGCCTTTGATTACTAATCAGGTTTCTTTTATAAAAGCTATCTGCCACATGTGTTACAATAAACCTGAACACAAACTGTTGCCTAATACTAAATTATTACCTTCATTGCCACCAGAAGTTAGTGTTAGTGGCTTTGGGTGATACTTTGTGGGGGTGGCCATGTTTGTGCCCTACAAGTGTCTCTGATTGATTTTCTTGTGGCACTTTCAGACCAGGGCAGCACGGTGGTGTGGTGGTTAGCAATGTCGCCTCACAGCAAGAAGGTCCTGGGTTCGATTCCGCCCAGTGGCCTTTCTGTGTGGAGTCTGCATGTTCTCCCTGTGTCTGCATGGGTTCTCTCCGGGTTCTCCGGCTTCCTCCCACAATCCAGAAACATGCTCTGGGGATCAGATTAATGGGTGACTCTAAATTGCCAGTAGGTGTGTGTGTGTGTGAATGGTTGTATGTCTCTGTGTAGCCCTGTGATTGGCTGGCGACCAGTCCAGGATGTACCACGTCTCTCGCCCAAAACCCGCCGAGCCTGCGACCCTGTGTGCAGGGATAAGCGGTTTGATGATGGATGGATGGACTTTCAGACCAAATGTGCAAGAGCCATTCGTGTGAGGAGCATGAGCAGAGCTGCGTGGAACGTCTGCAGTTGGGATTTTATACAACTAATTCTAATTATACAACTAATTCTCACGTGTCCAAGAAAATGTAATGCCTGCCAGCTGGATTACTTTTTCCAGAAATATAGCATACTTTTCATAATATGTTTGCTACCAGAGTCAGTTGGAAAACTATTTTGTAACATAAATGTAACTCCAAAGGTTGGATCATGGAATACATTAGGGTGTAGTTAACCTACAGCCAGCGTGGCTCTTTTCAAAGTGGGGTGGAAAAGTGATGGAAATCACTAATGAAAACATTTTGTCTAAGTGTGTCCGTTATCCTGCACTAGTGGGTGATGTGGGAGGTTAATGAGCTACTCATCAAGAAATAGTTCCATAAAAAAACTTTAAAACGCATTTTAAGCCAGTCAGCTGTTTCCCCTGCTTCCTGTCTTTCTGCTAAGCTAGGCTAACAAGAATCCAACCAAAAATAGACTGAGACCATCTGAACATCTCATTTTTAAATGCGGGACTATTCCTCCCGTGAAATATTGTTTAAGCACATTTCTCTAGGTGACAGTATTTCATTTGGAGACCAATCTACATTGTTGACTTAGGGTTAGGGTTAGGGTTAATCATTTGGTTACAATGTACACGCTTCGATTTCAGGAATCAGGAACATTTATTGTTAGACATACGAGGAACTTGACATGGCGGTAGGCGCATCGTCTACAGACTTCATGATATTAATTGTCAGACTGTATCTCGGCTCTCTCCTCAGGCAGTCCTGCCTTCTTCTGAGTTTTTTTCTGTTTCTCGCTGAGGACAGGTGTGTCCTTGTGTCCCGAGTCATTCTGTTGCCTGGAGTAGCGCTTGCACCTGCAAGAAGTCACCACAGTTATCTTGTAGGTCCTGGCGCTGCCATCCTGGCACTGGAGTCGGATCCGCTGTGTCCGGGTCCGGTCAATGACGCAACGCCACTCCTGAGCGTCCCGCCGGCTCCAGTAGCTCCCTGTGTGACCCCCAGCGCCAATCCAGTTGGGCAGCAGTTGAGCCGGCAGACACTCCCCAGCACATACAAGCTCCTTGATGGGGTTGACGCTGGTGCACTGGCCATCGGATATGTACTTGGTGGACCTCAGCTCCCTGCAGCCCACCTGGCTCTGGTCTGGGCCTGGAACATGAGATCTGGTTAGAGATACGCTCTGTTGACGTCTTGTCAACAGTGGTGGCTACTCTAAAAAGTGTCTACATGTAAATATAAAACATGGGGACTCAAAGTCGGGATACCTCAGACTCTGCTTTTTCTTTAGTGATATGTTGTGTTAAATATTAAAGACAAACGAAACAGTCATTACTATGTGAAGGGCTTAGAGTTTTATTTTGTATTAATTGTATTAAATGACTATTCAAATTGTGATTTTGATTTGGAATTAGCTCATTATCCATTTATTTTTGTCATGCGAGAATTTGTGTATGAAGTATTAAATATATCTGTGTGGGCAAGCAGTCAGCAGCAGCACGCACCTTTGCATAAACTACAAATAAACACAGAAATATCTGTATGGACAGAAATACATATTGTTCAACATTAAACTATAGTTCTAAAAACAAGGAGATAAAATGTTCTTTTATGCGTTAACTCACATCAGCACGAGCGAATATCTTTGAAACACGTGACAACCTCTGACAACAAAAGCAATCGAATGTAAAAAGCATGTAAATATATCGCGCCGCGCGTAACCACTTGGCCTCACCATTACGCACAGGGTCAGCCGGCCGTCTCCCGCTGTTCCTCGCGTGGTTCGTGTCTCCATCGTCCGGCTCGTCCTGAGCCCCGTGGGGCAGCTGAGTGCTGTCGGACTCGGTGGCGTCGTTGTGAACAGCGGAGCTGCTCCGGCTCAGTAGCATCAGAAGCGCAAAGAGCTGGAGTCCGCAGGAAGGACGCGACATGACTGCGCCTGAACGTACTGAGAAGACGGGACCTGCTGCTGGGCTTTAAATACCCTCTGCTGTGTTACCAAGGCGCCCCCTATCGACAAGCAGCCTGCACCAGCATCAGTGACAAATGCTCTGGGTTCAAATGTTAGCACTTCTAATAATCGTTTGAATAAAACAACACACATACTGTTACAGTATCTCGTTGGTTTTCAAAATGATGATGATACTTTCTCAGAAAAGAGAAGAAACGTAAGTGATAACTATAATGTATAGGTAATTATTATGACATAATTTTCACTTTGACGTTCTGTCCCTTCAAATCTTTTGTTTTAGTGGCGGAAATGTGCTTCCATACTAAGTAGTTAGTAGCTGGTACATTTGCTTTTCAAAAGGATACATGGGAAACTACTTCATCGATTGGCTAAATATTGCTGTGTTGAAAACTTGGACACACTGTAATAAATTCTGTAGGATATTAGAAACAAATATACAACCCGGTTCATAAAATTAATAAAAATGCATATAGTGTACACCAGAATACAGCCATGATTCTGGAACCGTGTAATCAATAAAGTAATGACAATATTGTGAAACCACTGTAATTTTGCAACTGTAATAGAATAATACCAATGCAGTTATGATTGTATTTAATGTAATGTAATCAACTGGAATGCTTGCATGTAATACTTGAACAACAACTGATATTGACTAAGGGTCATTCGGGGTCATTCTCAGCTGAGATGTTCTTTTTTCCACAACACCTTTTATTAAATACATTTGATTTTACCTTTTGATCTGCGATGACCTCTGTCCGTCCGGCGTTTCTTCATTTTTGAATACAACAATTCCTGTAAATTTACAGTGGAATAACTGTAGCTTACAGTTAAATCCTGAGCACATTTCATGTGGAGTTCAACGGAGGAGTTAACTTGACTCATTGCTAGCTCAGTGACATTAGCTAAGGTCAGCTAGCTAACAGCAGCTATGGTAACGCTATTATTGAAACAAGCAGTAAAAGCCTCTTTGTTACAGAGTTGTGTGCAGCTATGCTCTGAAATCTGAATTCTCATAAGAGAACTTTTTAATTTCAGAGCAACAATCTACTGATTTAGCTAACTTGTGCGGATTAATTAGAGAGACTAGCCTGCCTCCCATTTTTGTTTTGACGTTTTTGACATTAGTTGGAAATGATTTCATACAGCGTCTGCAGCTTTGGCATTTGTGCAGCATCATGGTTCCAACAAAGGGTTTACAGCCGCTGTCAAGAGTGAGGATTTTGCAAAACATCCCTCGCTACATCCAGAGAAGTTGGTGTAGCGTTTTCCACGTGGAATCAGAGAGCAAAGAAAATCGAGGTGTGGACTAACCACCGTGCTCCGAGCTGAACTAAAACCTCTCTACCAATGATCTTTCCTCTGTGGACTGTGCGGCCTTCACATGCTCCATGACAGTGTTTCTCATACACCATCCTCCAAAACCAAACCCATCCTTTCTAGCTGAAACAAATAATCTCTTTACTTCACTCAGCATTTAGCACTTTGTCACTAATATTGTCATTGTTGGTGATTTAAATATCCATGTCCCCTCCTGACAATTTGCAGCAGATATGTGCTTAAGTGTTCTGGCCTGCAGCAGCACGTTGAGGTGCCTGCTCACACCAAGGAGCACAGTCTGGATGTGGTTATCACTGACTTTGCCCCGGTCAGTAACAGGTTAACTACCTCTGTGTGTCTGACCAAAAGGTGGTCTCAATGGCCTTGACGTTCATGCTGCCTACTTAGCCTTTTGAGCTATACTAAATCAAATTCTCCCTCTAAAGTCCAGCTCTCCACCTCTGCTTCCCTCCAGTGTTTGCCAAGTGGCCTACTTTCCTGTAGTCAAAAGAGGTTTGTGGGTTTTATGTTTGCTTTGAATGGATTATTCAAGGTTCCTTCTTATTTGAATGTTGGACTGGTGCAAACCTACGCATTATTTGCCGAGTTAAAAGTACAATAATGTGACAACCTATCGTACTAGTCCATGTCAGCTGATTTTACCCCCCGCAGGAAACAATGAGCTCTCCGAGCCAGCGGGGGCGCTGCTCGGCCGCCGCCGCCCTCCTCTTCCTCTCGGGACACGTCATGCCAGCAGCTTCCGGCTAGTGCGCATGCGCGTCCCCGGCTCCTCCTTTAGGACCTGCGCCTCGAAGAAGAGCAACTCACTGGACGGCGAAGGTCTGTTCCGCTTCTTTCTGTTAACTAACCTTTACTAAATAACGTTTTAGAATCAGGTCCATGCTCGTTAGTGGCTGACTGAGTTGTGTGAGGAAAGCGTAGACAAGGCGCGCGGTTGCTAATGCTGGAAGCTAACGTTGACGTCAGGTGAGCCGCTTGTCCACGTAAGCGTCTGGAACACGAACGTAACGTCGTGATTCAGTGGACTTTAACCTCTGTTTCGACTCTAGAAAGGTTCGTCCAACTGAAGGAAAGCCGGCGGTCCGCTTTATTTCAGCCGCCGCTGTGAAACAATCCGTGCTTGTTTTCCCGACGTGAATGATCTTGTCTCCGCAGATGATGAAGATGCTGCACGTGTTTTTGGGCCTGGCTCTGATGGGCCTGGGTTCCGGAGAAGAGGGGGCCCGTCTGCTGGCCTCCAAGTCCCTGTTGAACCGCTACGCGGTGGAGGGCCGGGACCTCACCCTGCAGTACAACGTCTACAACGTGGGCTCCAGGTGAGACCCCCCACACTGACGTCACCTGCATGTCCGTGGGGGGCAGTGATGTGGACTCTATGATCAGGTTGCTGAGACTCATTTGACTGCTCGTGACTGTCTGTGTCCTCCTGTCTGTGTCCACAGTGCTGCACTGGAGGTGGAGCTGTCGGATGATTCTTTCCCCCCGGAGGACTTTGGAATCGTCTCGGGGATGTTGAACGTGAAATGGGACCGGATCGCTCCGTATCCTTGAGCCCAACGTTCCTGCCATGGTGGTGCTTGATGAAGTTGGTAGTTGAACAAAGAAAGATGAATTCTAATAGAGCATGAGATTTACAGCTGGGCCTTAAATGCATAAAAACCCTGCTTTTTAAATACCAAAATAGCTTTTCACCTAAACCTCTACAATGAGCTCCTGTGGTTAGTAGTGAACACTTGAGCTCTCAAAGGTCGATCGTAGTGAATAAGGATCTAAAGAGGTACTACTAAATGATAAAAACGCTATAATTCTTGTATGGATACTTTGTTCTGTCCCGTTGTTTGAGGGCTCTCAGACGTTTTCCTCGAGTCAGCATTGGAGACTGACCAGGCCCAAGGGAATTACCCACAAGTCATTGCAATGTGACGTCAAAGAATAGGACAACCAGTGAAGCGCGGAGACGTGAACGGGACGGCACTTGTGCGTTCAGACCGATAATGAAATGTACACATTTAATAAATCAGCGATCAAAGAACTGATTTGTTTTGTAGCGTCTTAGTGGTTGGGAGACTAGAAGCCCATCAATCGTGTTCCAGTGAACCTCCAGCTATGTGACTTAACTGCTGGCCTCTGCAGAGCGAGCAATGTCTCTCACACTGTGGTGCTGCGGCCCCTGAAGGCCGGATACTTTAACTTCACCTCTGCCTCCGTCAGCTACCTCGCCCAGGAGGGGGGGCAAGTCGTGGTAAAAGCACTTGATAATCTCCCCGAATCAAAGCCGCTCGTGTGTGTGTGTGTGTTGTAGTGAAGGAAGCTCCGTGTGCGTCTGTCCTACAGGTGGGCTTCACCAGCGCCCCCGGACAGGGGGGCATCCTGGCTCAGAGGGAGTTTGACCGGCGCTTCTCCCCACACTATGTAAGTCACTGTGTGTGTGTGTGTGTGTGTGTGTGTTCCATGGAGTTTGAGTAGACTGGACAATATGGCTCCAACTAACAATTGTTTTCATAATCAACCTTTTATTTCCATTAAGTGACTAATGATTATTTTTCATAGAAAATGAAATGACTGTTGGAATTTGAATTTCAATATTTAACCTATAAATTAAATAGTAATACAAAATTGCAAGTTAAAAGTAAAGCGATTTTGCAAATAAAGCCTTAAAGTAACTGAGAAAGCGTGTTGAGGGTGTGAAATGCCGACGCTGCGTTGTGCCGTTTGGTTTGCTGATGGATGCTTTGCTTTTTTCGTCTCAAAGACTTCTTCTTTTCCTTGGTGCATGTAGACATGGAAGCGATACTGCCCCCAGTGCTTCCTGTAGTGCACTGCAATGCCGTATGAAAATCACTGGTAGCGCTGCATCTTTTTAGAATAGAAAATGTGTTGACAATTTTTCCCAATCGATGTCATTGACTTTGTTGACTAATCGTTGCGGCGCTATTGAATATTAAAAACAGTGTGATGTAACATTATGTGACTACTGAACAAACTCCTCTCCAAAATGACGACATGGTTGAATCAACAAAAATACTGCGCTTAGAAGTGTTATTTTGGAATAAAGGATGTGACTCCTCCCCCTCCTCTTGTAGCTGGACTGGGCGGCGTTCGGGGTGATGACTCTGCCCTCCATCGGCATCCCTCTGCTCCTCTGGTACTCCAGCAAGAGGAAGTACGACTCTCCGAAGGCCAAGAAGAACTGAGCGGCTGCGTGGGAGGGGAACTCTGAATAGCTTAATGCGCCGTTATCGGAGTTTGAAAGTCAGGACGTGCGGTGACCAAGAACTTTCCATCCAGGAAGAGGACAACAGCCAGAGTGAGGTCAACAACGCTGCTCATTTGGCTTCATGGGACAATTGCATGGCTGTTACTACTGTAACTGAATTGTGTTATTGTGTACATATGGAACTGAATTCACATTGAGTTTCCAGCCAGCTGTTGAATTTGAAGATAAATTAAAGTTGTTTTTTTTTCTACATTTGTGTGTCTGAGGTTCTTCGTTTTTATTCCAAGTTTGATTTAGTTTTTAAAGGTTCTGTTTAAGAAGTTGGTCATTTGGGTTAGTATATAAAATATGCGTGTTGCAAAGCAGTGCACCGCCAGAACACGGTTTGTCGAAGATGACCCAGAGAATGATTGTGTCTTTGTGTGTGGAAGTCGTTGTTTGTTTATTTACTCGGACGTTTGCAGAGATCTCCCTCCATGAAACCATGCGCCGTCCTCATAGTCCGCCAATGACGGCTTGTACAAGTGCTCATGTTTACACATTTCTTCCCACAAAAGCTCTTCAATCTGATCCGTTCTCTCGTAAACGTTCTTCCTTTTAATAACGGCCGTATTGTGCTGTGAAAACGGAGACGTGAGACTCCGTAAAGGACGTAGTCAGCGGACCAATCACAGCCTGGTGCTGCAGGACGCTGCGTCGCTTTAGACGTTAGTCTAGAAAAATGGGTCGACGCACACAAGGAGGAGTGAGGACACGCATGACGTCGCCGTATTAAAGTTCACATCGCAGCCCAGCTGCACACACACAGGACTGCGGTGAGGACACACAACCAGGACGTGGATAAAAACAGGCACTTTTCATCAAATAATTCATTGTGTGAAGTTTTGTGGGGCTTTTGAGTTGGTCTTTCCTCAACTGCATCTATACATGTTCTAATATATCTTATATATTTATATTTGTTATCAATAAGGCTGTACTACTCTAGGTTTTTGCTTCCCTCAGCTGACACATCTCGTCCGCTGAGATTAGGGGCGCCGTCCTCTGGAGGGACATTCTGTCCCATCGGTAAACAATCAGTCCTGTACGTGCGTAACCATCATGTGTTTTGAATATATTCCTGCTCCAAAGATGAAAACCTTTGAGTCAGCTTGGTGCATGACATGTGTGTCCGTCTGTCTCCTGCTTGCAAACATTAAATAACCTGTTTTGATGATTTTACGCCGGCGTCGAGTGAGGATTTTTCTAACAACATTGTAACTTATTTATCCTGAAAATCCACCAGCCGCCACTGAATATAATATATACTGTCACATCTTTGTTTGTGAAAGTTACGTGACGTTGGTAATTATGTTTTTCATCATGCTCCCCCTCTGCCCTCCTCACCTGAACCGCCCCTGGTCCATGTACTGCTCTTATGAACATCAATGTACCGACACACATGCATAACAAATACACAACGTCTGTAGTTATTAAGGAAAAGTCACACTTTAGTTTAGAGGCATCTTAGAACATCTTATTGATGCTGTGACGGTTTTATATATATAGTTTATACTTCATAGTGTGAAGAGAAATGGATCAAGCTCAGGCAGACAAGTTATGAACCTGAAATATCACTTTCTAAGTCAGTAACGTCACAGAATAAATACACAAAGAAACTGAACTTGCTTTGCTCCTTTCTTTTGTTGTGTGATTATAAACTACCTTTACATTTAGTTTTGTTTTATGGAGCAGGAGGAAGCAGGATCAAAAAAGTTAATAAATGTGATTGCTGGTTGTTATTGACAGTATTGATTGACTCCTCTTCCTTAAGATTGCATTATTACTTTTCGCTAAAAGTACATGGCTTAACTGATTTAATTTGAATTTAAAGACCGGAAAAATGTTCTTTTCTCAGCCTGAGATCAATCATGCTCTGAAGGGGAATCATATCTTCCTAAATTAAATAAAATAAGATTATCTTCTCTATCTGTACGTTTTTGGGTTTTAAGGCTTTCGCTGTCACGCGCAGCAGGTTGCTAGGCAACGGGAGCCGTGGAGGTAGCTGACGCAAGCAGGAAGTCCCCCGTAGGCCAGACCGTCACGTGTCAGAGACCGCTCGGTTCAGCCTATGTGGTGTTGGAGGACCAGCCCAGGTCTACCGCGCAGGCTGCTGAAGGCTGCAGGCTACAAGGATGCAACCTAGGCGATTGAGACAGATATTCTGCGCTTCATCACGTAGTTGAAATGGGCCCGACGACGGCCATCGTATGCACCGCGTTTTAAAGAAAATGCACCTCTATTCAGGGCGTTACGGTAGAGGGGCGTATACAGCTATAAAGGCACTAGTATCTGTCAACAGTCATTTCCCTATCTTTGAACTGTCTTTAAACCAGATCCAAAACAGGCTACACTCTACCTTCACTTGATTCCTGTTATAGAGGACATCCTCTATGCACATGTAACCTTTCATGATCTATTACTGTACAGTTTTCAAGAGATTTAACGGGAAAGTCATGGAAAATGACATGATATTCGTCAATACTTTTAATCTTTGAATCGCCATTTCACTATCTAATGTACAGTTTTGGAGAGAATTAAAGATAAAGTCAGCTCAGTGGGTCCAAGTCCCCCTTGTCCCCTTAATGTCCGGTGCGATTCGCAATTGGGCGCACTTCTCCCTCACCCATCGGGGGCCGAGGTAGGCCGCCTGTCTAGCCAGCATGTTTGGTCCTCGTACTAACCGTGTTACTAACCATGCTAGTAACCACACTACTAACTACGTTACTAACCATTCTACTAACCGTGCTACTAACTGCGCTACTAACCATGCTACTAACTGCGCAGTTGAACGTGGCTCAGTCGGTGGTGGGTGGGCAAACACCCTTTATAAGGTGGTGCGATGGCCTACGTCACCCCTGACAGTCCGAAAAGGAGTGAGGTTCAGATCCCCGGACCTGGGGCCTCCATTTATAAACGTTGCGTACGCACAAAAGAAGGCGTACGCCGCTCTCTACGCAATAATTGGTATTTATAAAAAGCAAACTTGACGGAAAAATGTGCGATCCTTCACGCAAGCTCGGACCCAAGCGTACGCACAAAAACGGGTGAAATGAGAACCGTCGGCAAACGCAAGAAACGTAAACGTGTGTAAAACTAGACTGTTAAGAAATGCCAATACTGCCTCATAAATAACACGAACACCCGTTTGATCTGCAGCGTAAAACAAACAAATACAAATTAACACATTTTCCAAAAGAAAAGTGAAATATGTTCTGCAATAATATCGGCATGTTATTAAATTCATCCTCCACAGTGGTTGCTTGTCAGATGAAATCAGATGGACGGTGATAAAGTGCCATGTCATCACAATGCATAATGACGCTGATGGCTGATCTTGCGCTCTTAGAAGACGTAGCACATGGAAGGATTGGCGCTGTAGTGCTGCGTAGGACGTGCGTGCGCACGGTTTTATAAGTCTGAATATTTCTGTGCGTACGCACGTCCTACGTTTCATCCGTACGACACTTCTGGTTTTATAAATGAGGCCCCTGGAGTGGCAGAGATAGGCGCTAGGTAGCAACAATGCAGGACCTAGAGGAGGCCAACTTCAATAAGTAAATCAAGTGAAAATAGAGTGTTTCTCAGGTCAATGCATGAGGCTTGAGAACCCTGCACTGAGTTTATTATTGCACATCTTTTTTGAGACGACTACTGTAACGGATGTCTTGCAGCCGAGGAAACGCTGGCTACTGTCACCAGAAAACGGAGCAGGTCCACGTGGATCTCTGCTAGCCAACCGGCGAACTTCATTTCCACGTCACATCTGTCTCTGAAGTGCCGCGGATTCAGCCTGCTAACTAAACTGAGACAGATAAGCTAAACTAAGAAAGCCGCTGCCCGTAGTCGGTGTACAAGAACCAACGTTGCACCAATGTAACCGAGTGTTCTGGGTTGGTGAATGATGCACTCATGACAGATTACTAACCGCCCATAATATATCATCACAGTATACATGTGGTCCTCTATATTTCTTATACAACATTTGATATCTGCCTTTAATTTCCTTCAAAACTGTACAGTAATATATCATGCAAGTATACATGAGCCTAGAGGAGGTCAACCTGACCGAGTATCAAGTGGAGTATCGAGTGTAACCTTATAAGGATCTGGTTCAAAGACAGTGAAATGCTAAATATTATGTAATTCTACTGACTTTATATTTGATTCTATCCAAAACCATACAGTAATATATCATGCAAGTATGCATGAGGATAGAGGAGGTCCTCTTTAACAAGAATCAAGTGAAAATAGAGTGTAACCTCTTAAGGATCTGGTTTAAGGACTCTTGAAAGGCGATTAGCGCCTTTGGGGCTGTACAAGCCCCTTTACCGTAACGCCGTGAATAGAGGCGCGTTTCATTTGGAAATGCGGTCCACATGCCCGCAGTTCTACACGATGTACTCAGGGACATCTCCGTCCGTCTGGTCGGTGTCAACACAAAGATAAGAAGAGGCCGATGGTTGAGAGCCTAACCGACAGGAGGTGCCGTGCACATCGCAGGTCGCAGCCCTCTGTTTGTATGACCGGACATCCGCATTCCGCAACCGCCAGAGCCGCAGGGCCGAACGAGCCGCGCACCGTGGACACCGAGACACCGAGACACCGAGGAGCGCTTAGCTGCTCACAATAGTCTCACCCACAGGCAGACAACGGTTCAAAGGACACAATCCCACTGGGTATGTAGCCTTCGTTCTGCTCCTAGACTACTTCCACGTCCGTGTCGGTGTGCTTCCCGGTTAATGTGTGTGCAGGTGTGTACATGTGTGTACATGTGTGTGCATGTGTGTAGACGTGTGTACGTACACAGAGATCCACGCAGCAGATTTTACTTTGAAACGTCGTACCCGTGGAATTAAAAAATAGCAAGTGCACTGATTAAAATCTGCATGAATCCGTACAATGGTCCGTCAGCTGGATCTCTGGTGTAAGCGACTTGTTGCTGTTGGATCAGATAATGAAGTCTAATGCACATTTTATTAGGGAAGCTAACAGCTGTTACAAAACAGGCACTGCGTTAGACACGAAGCAAAGTAAACCAAACCATGTATTTTGTATTAGTTGGGACTACTTTTATTGGGGTTCCTTCCATCAATCCTTCCATTTCTGTAGTGAGAAATAAACCCATAGCTTAATAAAGACCACATAGAACAAAGTCTATGGTGTCAGCTTCTGTGGCAATCGTTTCCCTGAACTTGTATAAATTTGAACTGATCACAGATTAGTATCATTTTCAACGTGTTTTCACAAGAGAAGATCCAGCAGGCATCGCTTCTAATGTTAAGCAGTGACATGCAGTCAGGGTAGGAACTACCTGGACCAAATTAAAACATAAAAAAGTTCATTATTCATTAGGGTCCTCGCTACGACTAGTCGGAGAGGAACCTATTGTATTTCATGGAATTATTATTATTCTCTCACGCAACGATTGCCCTTTTTGAGCCTTTTGGCCTATTTTCGAACTCCTCCCAGGGCTTAAACACGATTCTTTTCAAATTCGCGCAGTGTGATCTTGAGGACCTAACCTCTAAAAATTGTATTTTGCCGGAAGAAATTATGTGTGTAGGGAGCATTTAAAAAAAAACACCATTCGGCATGAAAAGTTGTTTTAACTGGACCATACTTTATCCAATCTGCTCCATATTTCTCATATAGCATGAACATCGCAACCTGTAGACGTCCATATGATCATTTTTAACCTTGCACCACCTGGGAAAAACAGGAAGTTGATTGTTTTTTTTAATTTTACATCCTGCTCCTCAAAGGTTATGCTCCTCAAAAGTTAATCTGATCCCTCTCACATTTTATTAGCAGAGAGGTAAGACTTTGATAATGCTTCACTGCGAATATTATAAGAATCCGATAATCGTGGCGAGTGGGGGCATCGGCAAAGTTGATCCTTCGCCAAGAACAACTAAACTGTTGTAACTCTACTCCACAACATCGGATTCTTTCCAATGTACACATGAGTTTGATGAGACTCTGGGCCTGAAGTGATGTGAAGTTGAATCAAGTCAAAGCGCCACCTACTGATAACAGGAAGTGAAATTTTCTAGTATCCAATTAAAAACAAAGGTGTCATTTCAAGAGGCTTTAATTTCTTAAATCAGAATGTCCTGGTTATCATAGAGCGACACCTTGGGGATGTGTACTCTCTGCCTGAAGTGGAAATACTGTGTAACTATTAGTTGTTTCCTTTTTCAATCTAATCCTAAATTGACCAGTTGTAGTCTTGTAGTGGAGAACTTGAAGGAAACTTGCTCATGTATGGTATTTTAAGAGGCTTTAATTTTGGAATGGTACATGAGAATGTCCTGGTTATTGCTGAGTGACACCTTGGGGATGTGTACTATCCGTCTGAAGTGAAATAATCATGTTTCCTTTTTTGATCTGATCCGATAATCTATGACATTTCGCGTCGCTCCACACGGTTAACGACGACTTGACTCTTGGACGCTTTGTCCGATGGCTGCAGGAGTTCTTGGGTACATTTCTAGTCGCCCGGCCGGTGCCCCGACGTGCGGAGTAGCGAGGACCCGTCCATCGCTGCTCGCAGCTTTAATTAAACGTTGTATTTTTAATGTTTATTCTTGTGATTTATATATGCAATGTGTTTGTTACAGTTATGCGTAATCAAGTACAAAAGAATTGGTAAAGTAAGCCGTGCTTTTACTGTCCATTCACTGCGAACGACAAGCGAGTCACTTTACGCTGTAAGCGTAATTCCCACGAAAGTCAAGTCAAAATGACCACTGCCGTCATGAAGCCCTGTATAGACGAATTTTACAACACTGTGATCGACGTCTTCGTGAGGAAAGAGCGATGGATCGATTGGATACAAATACTCTACCGATTGGTGAGTCAGAAACTATTTTGGGCTAAATATAGAATTAAAAAGTGTGGTTGAAAAGTACCGACTACAAGCCATTTGCCTTTATATTTAATTGAGCAGTCTGTGTTTTCATTGTTGCTGCCTGACAAACATAATTGGCCGAGTGCAATAATTAAACAATAACGTCCGAGAGTTCGTGAATAATGTTGCGTCACAACTGTAATAGACTGGGTTTCTCATGTTAAGTGTTATCAGTGATGTGATTGGCTCTTGACTTCACATGACTGTGTAAAGTGTAAAGCGTAAGCTAGTCAGTTCCGGAGCCGCAGACTTGTGTGTATGCTGATGTATTCTTGCAGTCTTCAGTAAACATGTTCATTCAACCACAGTCTAAAGTGCATATTATACACCCACCAAGATATCACATTGGTGACGAGGATGGCCGGCCTGCAGAAATGTCATATGTGTTCCAAGACAGGGCATATTTGTCAGGAAAGCGGGGAAGGCAGGACCCACACGCAGAGTTTTGGGAAACAAAAAGACTTTAATAGTCAAGACTTCAAATCAAAAAAAGGCCAAGGGAGAAAAACGCAAACATTCAACAATGAGGCGACAAGTGACAAGAGACACACACGGCTTAAATACACTGGGAAGGTGCAGGTGATTGGACACAGGTGGAAACAATCAGACAATCACAGGGGATAGCAGGACAAGGCAGGAAGTGAGGTTAACCAGGGACACAAGAGGCAGAAAACTACAACAAACTACAAAAAGGACGCAAACACAAACCGTGACAATATTTCCAGATCATGTCGAAATAAAAGACAGACTGCCAAGGCCCAGTATAAGTGTAATATGAGTGTTGATGGAGAAGATGACCAATTCAGAGTCGTTACAGTCTACATGACATCCAGTGGGAACGGAGGCATTAAACTGGATAGGTTGGAAAAAGAGGGAATACTTTCCAAAGTGGGTCAAAGTCAATGGGGGGCCCCGGTTGTGGTGGTACCACGCCGATAAATCCATCAGCAACTGTGGGGATTACAAGGTCACAATAAATAGCCAACGGGAAGTAGAGATTTACCCCCTGCCCAACACTGAGGATTTATTTGCGACTCTAGCTGGGAGGAAATGGTTTTCAAAGGTAGATCTCTCCCATGCTTACCAGAAATTGAGATTGAGACAGACTCTGAACAGTATTCAACCATAAATACCCAGAGAGGACTGTACCACTACCATCGGCTCAGCTATGGGGTTGCCAGCGCACCATCAATTGTTTGATCAGTGATGGATCAAGTTCTGCGGGGACAAGAAGGAGTGACTTGTTTTTTGGATGACATCTTAATCACAGCCAACACTAAAGCCCTGCACTTGAAAAGACTGGAAGCAGTGTTGGGCTGTCTGGCACGTTATGGCTTGAGAGCAAAGTTGGCCAAATGCAGATTTTGTAGAGTATTTGGGGCATCGGATAGACCATGAAGGCTTACAGTACACCCCACACACCAAAAAGTGGAGGTAGTGGATAGTCATTCCAAATGACTAGAGGTTTTTCACATGACTTCCACCACGTCAAGCCGAACCATAGAGGTGTTGCGCAACCTCTTTACTGCACATGGTCTTCCGCAAGAGATTGTGTCTGATAATGGACCCCAGTTTGCCTCCTCAGAGTTGAAACATGTTTCTAGCCAAAAATGGAATAAAAGAAACGCTGGTCCCACCGTATCACAGGCTGTCAAACTTTGTGCTCATGTATAGGGTTACGCCTCACTCAGTCACAGGTCACTCTCCAGCTGAGCTGTTCTTAAAGCGTGAGATACGCACCCGCTTCAGTCTGTTGAGACCAGACCTGTCCCACACTAACACCAACAGGCAAAACAGAAACTGTATCATGATAGAGAGAGACTGAAATTGAACGAGTTTCAGGAGAATGATTGAGTCAGAGTAAACAATTTCAGGGGAGGAACTGAGAAATGGACTGCCGCTACGGTCATAAGGCGTGTGGGTCTTGTGACATACCTGGTCTGGGAAGGACACCTGTTCTGGTCCGTCCATGTTGATCATATGCTGGGGAGAAGAGGAGAACTCAAGAAACTGGAGCTGTACACACATTTTGAGGACCAGGACTTAACACCAGTTAGATGTGTCACATGTGTCAAAATAAATTTTGACACATGTGACTTTGAGAAACAAGCCTAAGTATATACATTTATATCCTGTTACCAGTAGGTGGCGCTGTCACTGTGATCCAGAATGAATGATGAGATGAATTGACCAGGCGGAGTACATCAATGTATAAAACTTCTAATTTCCTTTTGCCAGGAGGTGGTGCTATTCTTTATTAATTATGAAGTTGGCATGGCAATGGACTATTCAAATATGAAATTCACCACTGTTTTGATATACATGTAACATTTGGGGAGTTTGGGTATAAAGTCCCCAAAAAGGCAGTTCATTGAGCAGAAAAATAATAACAATAATTCCTACAGTTTCAATTGGGATCTCGCTTCCCGATTCGAGCCCTAATAATAATAGTAATTCCTTCATTTTCAATAAAAATGCAGTCCTTGAAATTTATTTTATCTGAGAGTTAAAGGACATAGCCTTATTAAAGATAACTCCAGAATTCTTTCCGTTGCTGCTGGATACCAGAGCAATGTCATCTTGATAACCTACATCCCTAAATAATTGACTTTGGAGGCGCTCTGGGCCTAATAGAATAACCTCTGCTTTGTGTGAGTTTAACATCAGGAAGTTGCTGGTCTTTCAGGTTTCGATGTCCTTAAGCCATGCTTGAAGTTTAACAAGCTGGTTTAATACAATAAATATAATTGAGTATTGTCTGCATAAGGTAAATAACATTGGTCCAAGCACAGAACCTTGTGGAACTCCGTGACTACATTGGTAATCATCTAGATTTCATTGTCTACAAAAGTTGGACTCTGACTTAGGCAAGTTTAGCGCGGCTCCTTTAATGCCAATCAAATGTCCTAACCTCTGTAACAGGATAGTAACCTGCTAGTAACGGGACTTGTCTGTGACTTGCGTCCTTTGTCACTTGGTAAACATGTGAATCTTTAGTCACTTGTTTTTTACGTGAATCCCTAATTACATGCTTATGACTGAAGTTCTTTGTCATTTGCTGGTGACTTGTTAATCGAGTGACTTGTTAGTCATTTTAGTTAGATACATCCTCATGCAAATAAAGTAAAATTATATAATTTATGTCTATAATATATCTTTTAGTTAATTATTTTTAGACCACCATAGATGACAATTAAAATAGTTAGATCGTTTAGACATTTTGACAGTTTACAGGGGTGTCCTGATTCAATTTGACTTTTAGTTGCAAGGTTACGATTTGGTTTTCATTGTAAAACAATGGATTCTTGATTCATTTAGATGAGCAGATTATTGTTTTTTTGTCATAGCTGTCATTGACATTTTATTATTTTTAGCCTTGGTGTGAAATCCTTAGCAAAAAAAAAGACAAAAAAATATAATTGGGCGTAGACTTAATGTGCAGCTTGACACTGGGCTCTTTAATTCTCTATCACAAAGGGAAGTCAGATGCATTGAGGGAAGTTGGTTTTATAGAGCTGATATGTGAGTGGTGTGTTAAATTAACCAAGTCTATTGTCATAGACAAGAAGAGGGGAGTTGCTGAAAAGATACAAGGTCAAAAGTCCCATTGGCATATGTTGGTGATGACTGGAGTATACCTTTTGTTCTGATAGCATACACATATGGTTATTGAGGGCAATAATAGCAATGACTGGATGGATATAATAGTTTCCATCTTTTGTTAAGTGAGGGGTTATTGCAGTCAATAATAAAAACCTTTAGGTTCACTACCCCCAAAAGAGAAGTCTAAATTAGGAAGAACAACCCCATGTTATCTCCGCTCTGTAGAAGCTAACAATATCATCCAAGGACTTTTCTTTTTGCTCCATGAAACTGATGTCTTGCATAATCTTGGTAAGGAATGGCCATAGTTAAACTTTTAAATGCAATATACTTGAGTGTGTGTGTGTGTGTGTGTTTGTGTATCTGGAAGAAGCAGATTTGGTTGAAAGATCTATATTAATAAAATACTTAAGATCAATAGGATTACTAACAACGGACGGATCCGCCCTGTAGTCGACTGCTATCTGGGCCCGTTTTGCTCTTTTGTATTGTATGTGATTGGACGGCTGGGGTTTAAGAGGGAGACGGTGGAGGCCGGCGCTCTCTCTTGGTCTCTCCAGCTCACAATCAGTCTTTGTCATTTTGCAGTGGAGAAAATGTTGAACAGTGCTGGTCACAGGGGGGGGGGGGGGGGCCCCTTCTTTTGAACTTGTTTTTTCCTCCGGTACGGGGGGACAGGTAAGTAAGAATGTTTTTGCAAAGATTGTTTTGATTATTGTTTTGACCCAAAGCTTATTGTACCCAATGATAAATAAATGATTGTGGGCTAGTGCTTATTTGGGAGTGGCCACGGATAGGCTGCGCTCGTGTTTTCCCTGGACTGGGGCTTAACATAAACACTGTTCATTTTGGCCTTCCAGTTCAGTCTGTTATCGATGGAGACACCCAAGTATGTCCACATCCCCACCCAGAACCCTCAGCGATTATTGAGAGGTTGTCTTCCTCCTGAAGTCCACCACCGTCTATCTGGTCTTGGCCACGTTCAGAATCAGGGTATTTCTACCTGGCCATTTCACAAAGCCACCCACTACTGGCCTGTACTTCTTTTCCCATCCACTTATACACCCGAACCCTGCAGAGTTATCGTTCACGAGGTGAACAGGAAGGGACACAGAACAGTTCCCAGCAGGGCTCCAGTATCACTGACCACCGTATCAGACGGCCCTGTCGGACAAACTGGTCTGCCTCTGAGGTAGTCAGTGATAGAGGGGATGCTGGATGCGTTAACCCCCACCACCCGCAGCTTCTCACTCAACAGGGCTTGGATGCTGTTGAACGCACTGGAGAAGCCAAACAAAGTGATTCTAACAGCCTCCTGTTACATCCCGGTGCGACTGAGCTCGTTGCAGCAGGTAGAAGTTCACTCACATAAAGGGTAGAGAAACATGATTTTCTCTCTACCTTATCGTACGTTCATGCTGCCATTTGGCATCCCTTCACCTCCCCATTGCCGCCCAATCTTCATCACATTCATTAGCTTAAAACCTGTTGCACCCGAGGGTCTCCAAATTTGGTCAAAATGAGCCAGAACCGAGCCAGAACTGGATTATCGAACAAAAATATGAATGCTTCACACAGAGTATCGGCTACAATATGAGAAGACTGCATAGTGTGTGTGTTAATTTGCACTGACATGTTACTGTTTCTCGTACTCAGGTACGACTTTGGTGTAGATGGAGCTCGGGTGACCATGAACCACTTGAAGTTGGACTAACAAAGGAGTGAAACAAAGCGACATGGCGGTCTTCAAACCTGAAAATGTTGAGGACTTCTATGAGATCGGAGAAGTTCTGGGAAGGTATGGATACAATAACCCGTTTACCTTCACACAGCATTAGGTATTTGAACCTTTTACAGATTTTGTATGACAACTCATTTAATTGGAAGTGAAACATTGTCAATGAAGGTTGTCGAGTGGCAGAATTAATTTAAGTGTGCCCATATCCCAAAGAAACTGATTAGCCATGTGCATGGTTAATAAACTTGAAGACGCTGGAATTACTTTAACAGCTGACAGGAAGGGCGATTGCGTGCATTTTTTAAAGTACCGGTACTAAAAAAGGGCGGCACGGTGGCGTGGTGGTTAGCACTGTTGCCTCACAGCAAGAAGGTCCTGGGTTCGATTCCGCCCAGTGGCCTTTCTGTGTGGAGTCTGCATGTTCTCCCAGTGTCTGCGTGGGTTCTCTCCGGGTTCTCCGGCTTCCTCCCACAGTCCAAAGACATGCTCTGGGGATCAGGTTAATTGGGGACTTTAAATTGCCCGTAGATGTGTGAATGTGAGTGTGAATGGTTGTATGTCTCTGTGTAGCCCTGCGATTGGCTGGCGACCAATCCAGGATGTACCCTGTCTATCGCCCGAAGTTGGCTGGGATGGACTCCAGCCCCCCCCCGCGACCCTGTGTGCAGGATAAGCGGTTTTGACAATGGATGGATGGACGGTACTAAAAATGTTCATCAACGTAAGGGTACCGCGGTACCTTTCTAGTGCCGTACACCGTGCCACACTAGTCCTGACCCCATCTCTGACAGTTAAGAACCTCCACGACACTCCACGTTTCCCTCACTGCCAACATTACAGCAACAACACGTTCCTGCTGCACAACATCATGTGAATACGCCCCCCTCTCAATCAATGCAAGTTCTGGTCCAGGCTATGTCGTCTCACGCCTTGACTATTGTTACTCCCTCTTAGTAGCTCTACCTGCCAGCGCCATCCGACCTCTGCAGCTCACCCAGAATGCAGCAGCGACGGGTCTTCAGCGTACCCAAATTCACCCCCAGTACTCCGCTCCCTTCACTGGTTACCAGTGGCTGCCCGCATCCATTTCAAAACATTGGTACTTGCGTACCGTACAGCTAAAAGATTCGGTCCAGTCTACATCCAGAACGGGGTCAAACCTTCCGTTCCAGACACTCTGCTTGCTGCTCCCGCACAGAAAGATAAAAAGTCAACAAAATGACGCTGTTCGCTGTCCTGGCTCGTGAATGGTGGAATGAGCTCCCCATCGACAGCAGGACAGCGGAAAGCTTAGGGCAAAGCTAACCCTAACCCGCAAACTGAAATGCACCTCTACCGACTATACCTAAACTAGTCAGCCCTTTATTGCTGTATCGCGAGGTCAGTTTGTAATGTCTGTGAATTATGTTCTTGCCCCATACAGTGGGCATTTTGGTCAGGTTCGACAGGTTCGGGAGCGGGCTACTGGGACTTGTTGGGCAGGCAAGTTCCTGAAGATCCGGAAGAACACGTGCAGTCGCCTTGGTCTGGACCGGAGCTGTGTGGAGAAGGAGGTGGAGATCCTCCAGGCTGTACAACATCCAAACATCGTAACTCTCAAAGACGTTTTTGAGAGCCGAGCTGAGGTGGTGCTCGTCCTGGAGCTGTGAGTGACGTGTGTGTGTCATGTTATTGTAGCACATTGTCTTGCACCCATCCAGTGTGAAGCTGCAGGGTGTGCATGCTGTGTCATACGTCATGGCAGCATTCAGCGTGAAAATCAGACCTCACAGAGACATTTCGAACATAGCTGCCCATAGATGTTTAGTTGTGCCAGTCAACCCCAATGTTTTTCCACAAATTGAAATGTCTTCAGAATCAGAATTGTATTTATGGTCTTTAAATACACATTAACATGAATCCAACATATTGATGCAGAAGACGTTATCTCTCAGTCGCAACACACACATTGAGCTTCCCACAGCAGCTCTCAGGCTGGATACCGGTTCACTCACAGCACCTTTCATGCGGATACGACAGCACAGGCACCAGCCAATCAGATCGTGTTTTAAAAAAGATCTCTCGTAACCCCTGGAGTGCCTTTACGTACCCCCACTGTAGAACTACTGCTCTAGGGTTACATCTGTATTCCTGTCTAATGACCCCCTGGAAGACGAAATAATAGAAACACTTAACACGTGTGTATTTGACATTTCAGTGTTAGTGGAGGGGAGTTGTTTGACTTCATTGCTGCAAAGGAGAACCTGCTGGAGAGTGAGGCCATTGAGTTCATGAAGCAGATCCTGGAGGGACTTAGCTTTATGCATAGCAAGAACATCGGCCACTTTGACCTCAAGGTACCAATGCATTGCTGCTTCTCTGCTTGCCTTGGATGTTTGGAAACAGATGTGAACTCAAACTGAACATTCCACCATAACGCCGTTCGTGTCTCTGTTCAGCCAGAGAACATCATGCTGTCAGACAAAGTGGCTGCTCAGCCCAACATCAAACTCATCGACTTCGGCCTGGCTCATCATTTTTATCAAGGGGAGGAGTACAAAAGCACAAGTGGTACCCCACAGTACATCGGTGAGGATGAGTATTCCTACATTTGTGTCAAACTGTGAGATCTTTTCAATGGCATTTGTATCTATGAAATCCTTCATGAACAGGCAGTAAGAGCAGCAGGCAAGTCCCGAGCTCAACATATTGTTTTCTCTACACATGCACTGATGAAGGACTTCTTTCATATTCAACTAGACTTGTTGTCTATTTTTCTATCTGTATGTCTGTAAATCAGTCTGTCCGTCTGTCTTTGTGTATGTCCCTCTCTTTCAGCACCCGAGGTGATCAACAGTGAGCCTCTGAGCACAGCAGCAGATATGTGGTGAGGATTGTTCCACCGAGCAAAGCCAACGATGACTCTTTACTGCCTGGTGTCTGTATAAATTCCTCTGTTAGTAAGGGCCTCTAAGCCCCCCCACTATGGTCGCATTTGTCTCACTGACCTAATGAGGGGACGTCCAAGCTGACAGTATTTGTCTTGAAAAAGTTAAAAGCACCTCCCATCCACATGCCTGCATCTTGTGCTTATTTGTCCCCCAGGAGCATTGCTGTTATTACCTACATTCTGTAAGTACAGTCTCTCTATGGCTCGGTTGGCATGTGAGTGTTGCATGCACTATGTACTGTCCTACAGGGGCGACTGTGGGTGAGTGGTCGTCCTCCAATCAGAGGGTTGGTGGTTCGATCCCAGGTCCTGCTAACCCGCATGTCGATGTGTACCACTGAGGTGCCATGTTGGGTGCCATGTTGGCCAACATCGGCGTCAGGGGGTCGAGGCACGTTTGGAAGCTGTGCCACATTATGTAGCACAGCACATGCAGCACGATGTTGCACACCTTTTCAGGAGTAAACAATAACCTCCCTCCAGTGCAGTCGAGGCGGCGCCGTCTGCCCTTAAACAAGCCGATGGTGCGCTGCACTACAGCGCCAATCCTTCCATGTGCCACGTCTCCTAAGAGCGCAAGATCAGCCATCAGCGTCATTACGCATTGTGACGGCATCATGGCATTTTTATTACCGTCCATCTGATTGCATCTGACAAGCAACAGCTGTGTTTAGAGGATGAATTTAATAACATGCCAATATTATTGCAGAACATATTTCACTTTACTTTTTGAAAATGTGTTAATTTGTATTTCTGTTTGTTTTACGCTGCAGACTTTCACACACGTTTGCGTGTTTCTTGCGTTTGCCGACGGTTCTCATTTCACCCGTTTTTGTGCGTACGCTTGGGTCCGAGCTTGCGTGAAGGACAGCACATTTTTCCGTCAAGTTTGCTTTTTATAAATACCAATTATTGCGTAGAGAGCGGCGTACGCCTTCTTTTGTGCGTACGCAACGTTTATAATCGAGGCCCCTGACCCCTAATTGCTTCCTGGGCAAAAGTGTAAAAAGCCATGGGTTAAAAATGCAATGTAAGGATAAAAGCGTCAGGTAAATGACCTGTAATGTGATGTAAAGACTAGAAAAGCACTGTACAGTCCATTTATCATTTTATGGTCTGTAAATCCTTTTATCGTTGTATGTAATAAAGCACACAACCTGGATGTCTCACTCTGTCCTCAGATTGAGTGGTTTGTCACCATTCCAAGGTGAGACAGATGAGGAGACACTGAGGAACATCAGTGTCATGAACTACACGTTCCCTCCGCAGTATTTCAACATGACCACCTCCATGGCCAAAGACTTCATCCAGAAACTCCTTTTAAAAAACCCCAGGTTTGTTAGTCCCCTATTAGAGCTAAAGCAAGTTTGTGCAAATAAGTAAGGTCTATAATAGGAATAGGACACATGCTGCTGTATATGCATGTCATGTATATTAACTGACATTGATTTATTGATTTATTTAGGTGTACTGCACCAAATGGTGCCTCGGCTACAAGACAATAGACAGCAAACACATCACTACTGCTCACATCTTCCGGCTCTTGAGATCTGTTGCCATGACTTCCCTATTGATGTGTATTTCAGTGAAAGAATGACAGCTGAGGAATGTCTGCTTCATCCATGGATTAAGGTTACTACCAGTCTTCCAACCTTCTTGGGTTGATTGCTACTAAATATTACTGTGTGTTACTTAAAACAACTGCACATGTTGTCTTTTTTTCAGCCTATGACACGCAAACAGGTGGCCCATAGGAATCGTTCCTCAATCAACATGAAGAACTTTAAGAAGTTCAACGCGAGAAGAAAATGGAAGGTGAGTGTGGATATGTACGCCAAACCAACATGTAAGTCAGGGGTCTCAAACTCGCGGCCCGCGGGCCAATTGCGGCCCCCGGGACGATATTTTGTGGCCCCATCCTTAATATGAAAGTGTAATGTTAGTGCGGCCCGCAAGTTTTATACTGTAACCCCACTGTCAGCTGCTGTGTGGGACATGTTATGATGGTTCTGGTTTCCTACTGTGTGCTTGTCCAGTGAACGTGGCATGCATGTGACTGACATGGGGGGCGGGTCGTGTGTGTCGGCCGAGGTGCAGAGAGCAGGAGGGTGAAATTCAGTTTCCTGCCCTCTTTCGCGCAGGTGATCATGTGACTAACCGTTAGCATCGCTCGTTTAATAAAGTTTTCCTTTACGACTCACACTAACAACACATGAAGCATCTGACGTCACCGACGAGCGTCTCCGTCCATCACTACGCAGCTTCGATTCACGTAACTTCACGTTTGGCTATAAAGGAATTCCACGGTCACATGACCTTAGGTCTCCCCCGCTGAGTTAAAGGAGGACTAGTGTTGGAGTCTCATTCCGACCGATCCCCCAGGGTGGGGTTCAATGACTGCTTTTGAAAGTGAGTGTTAAGTTGTGTTATTGTCGACCATGCCGTTCGGACGCTAGTCTGGCCCGCGTTCGGTTGAAGTGGGCTGCATCTGGCCCGCAGCTGATTTGAGTTTGAGACCCCTGATGTAAGTAAAGCATATTGGTATCAAAGATCGACAGTAGAGACATGAAATGGAAGACGAGAGAGATTAGTAACAAACTGCATTAATTCAATTCAATTCAATTCATTTTATTTTGTATAGCCCATAATCGCAAATTACAAATTTGCCTCACAGGGCTTTACAGTGTGTACACATACAACATCCTCTGTCCCGAACCCCACCATCGGCACAGGAAAAACTCCCCAAAAAATGAAAAAACCCTTCCAAGAGGGAAAAAAGGGAAGAAACCTTAGGGAGAAGGTCAGAGGAGGGATCCCACTCCTGGGATGGACAGACTACAATGGATGCCATGTGTACAGAATGAACAATGTATAATACATGCAATTCCTATGACAGAAATGATTCAAGTAATTGTGAGTAGTAAGCCAGGCGCACAGCAGGACCACTGCAGGGACAACCATCATCAGATAGAACCACCATCCACAGAAGCCTGTGGGGAGGGAGAGCACAGAGACTTAGAGCGACCTAGGAGAGGGTAATGTCGGTTTATGAGTACAGTAATATGATTATTATCTAAAATAATGATGATGATGGCAGCAGCAGGCGTCAGCAGGGCCACGATAGGTGTCAGGACCAGGGTCCCGAAGGAACCACGATCTACGGAGACCTGATAGGGGAGAAAGCACAAAAAAAAACTCCCGGAAAGAAGCTGAATTAGTCATGTGCATTAATAAAACTTGAATTATGGTAGTACAAGAGCGTGAGAGAGGAGCTCGGTGTGTCCTAAGAATTCCCCCGGCATTCTAAGCCTATAGGAGGTTAACTAAGGGCTGGTCCGGACTAACCTGAGCCAGCCCTAACTATAGGCAGAATCAAAGAGGAACGTTTTAAGTTTTACTTTAAAAAAGCTGACCGAATCTGCCCCCCGGACTGAAAGTGGAACCTGGTTCCACAAAAGAGGAGCTTGATAACTGAAGGCTCTGGCCCCCAGCCTACTTTTTAAAACCATAGGAACAACAAGTAACCCAGCATCTATGGAGCGCAGTTGCCTTGTAGGGCAATACGGTGTTACAAGCTCTTGAAAATAATTGGTGCCTCACCAGCAAGTGCCTTGTAGGTGAGGAGAAGTACCTTAAAATCTATTCTTGATTTAACAGGGAGCCAGTGCAGAGAAGTTAATACAGGAGTGATATGATCCCTTTTCTTAGTTCTTGTTAATACACGTGCTGCAGCATTCTGAACCAACTGGAGAGATTTACAAGAGCAGCCTGATAACAAAGAATTACAGTAGTCCAGTCTGGAAGTGACAAACGCATGAACTAATTTTTCTGCATCACTTTGAGACAGGAAGTTCCTGATTTTTGATATGTTACGTAGATGAAAATAGGCAGTCCTTGAAGTCTTCTTTATATGCGAGTTGAAGGTCATATCCTGGTCGAAGAGAACTCCCAGATTCCTGACGGTGCTGCTGGGTACCAGAGCAATTCCATCCATAAAAACTGTATCACGTGACAGCTGGCTTCGAAGGCGCTCTGGGCCTATCAGGATAACTTCCGTTTTTTCTGAGTTTAGCATTAGGAAGTTGCCGGTCATCCAAGTTTTGATGTCTCCAAGACATTCTTGAAGTCTAACTAACTGGTCCGTCTCTTCTGGCTTGATCGACAGATACAGTTGAGTATCGTCTGCATAACAATGGAAGTTTATGCGGTGTTTCCTGATAAGATCGCCCAAAGGAAGCATATAGAGGGTAAATAAAATCGGTCCAAGTACAGAACCTTGTGGGACTCCGTGACCAACATTGGTGGTCTTTGAGGATTCACCGTTTACAAGCACAAACTGGGATCGTCCGATAAGTAGGATTTAAACCAGCTGAGTGCAGTTCCTTTGATACCAATTAAATGTTCTAGTCTCTGCAACAGGATACAATGGTCTATGGTATCAAATGCGGCACTGAGGTCCAGCAAGACAAGAAAAGAGATGAGTCCTTGGTCCGATGCAAGTAGAAGATCATTCGTAATTTCCACCAGTGCTGTTTCTGTACTGTGATGCACTAATCCTGACTGGAAATCCTCGAACAAAGCATTGTTTTGTAGAAAGTCACATAATTGATTTGCGACGGATTTCTCAAGGATCTTAGAGAGGAAGGGACGATTAGAGATAGGTCTGTAGTTATCCAACACCTCTGGAGCAAGAGTAGGTTTCTTAAGAAGAGGTTTAATTACAGCTACCTTGAAGGACTGTGGTACATGTCCTGTCAACAAAGACAGATTCATAATATCTAATAAGGATGTGCTAACTAAAGGAAAAACTTCCTTAAGCAGTTTGGTCGGAATCGGATCCAAGAGACAAGTAGAAGATTTAGACTTTGAAAATAAAGAAGTCAGTTGATCAAGGTTGATGGAAGAGAAGGCATCCAAACAAGCATCAGGGCCCACTGCTGCATCCAAGGTTCCTACATCGGAGGACAGGTGGGCACTGGTTGAAGGCAGGAGACCATCAATTTTCTCTTTGATAGTCAGAATCTTATCATTGAAGAAGTTCATGAAGTCGTTACTAGTGAGGTCCAAAGGAATACACGGCTCGACAGAGCTGTGACTCTCTGTCAGTCGGGCTACAGTGCTGAAGAGAAACCTGGAGTTGTTTTTATTTTTCTCTATTAATGATGAGTAATAAGATGCTCTTGCGTTACGGAGAGCCTTCTTATACGTTTTAAGGCTGTCTTGCCAAACTAGCCTAGATCCTTCTGATTTGGTGGAACGCCATAATCGTTCAAGTTTCCGCACAGTTTGCTTTAGGTTCCGTGTTTGAGGGTTATACCACGGAGCAGACTTCCTTCTTGTTGCTATTCTTCTTTCCAGAGGAGCAATAGCATCCAGCGCCACTCTCAAAGAGCCTGTAGCAGTATCGACAAAATGATCGATCTGGGACGGACTGAGGTTCTCACAGGAGTCTTCTTGTATCTTGAGGCAGGGCACTGAACTTAGAGCAGAAGGAATGGCTTCTTTAAATAAGGCTACAGCGGTATCCGATAAGCGTCGACTGTAGAAACCCTTGGCAGGAGGAGGTGGTTCTGATAGTAGAAGTCTACGGTACACCAGTCAATAGTCTTGTGACTAGCGATAGACATTATCTCATATGATCTCATACCACCCTTAAGTGTTACATTGACGGACATTGTCCCATAATTGGCGGAGTAGTGGATAATTCAAACCATTTCAATGCTCACATTGATAAGTGAGAGCATCTCAACACTGAAAGTGTATTCACACTACGTCGGGCTGTCCCGCGTCTTTCGCGCCACACGTTTGAAATTTGTCTCATTTGCGACCTGTCGTGTCTGTGCATTTTTATCCACTTTTATCCAAAGCGACTTATAATACGTGCATTTAACCATAGGGATACAAACTCAGAAGAACAAGAAACAACAATTTCCAACTTAGGAACCATTATAAGTACAATGTAAGTGCTACAGTTATTTAGTGTGTTAGTGGAGGTAGAGTCTGAAGAGGTGCGTCTTTAGTCTGAAGATGTGAAGGCTCTCTGTGGTCCTGATGTCTTCAGAGAGCTCCTTCCACCATTTATGAGCCGGACAGCAAAGAGTGGTGATCTAGTCGAGTGTTTTGTTCTCAGTGGGGAGGAACAAGCAGTTTATCACATGCAGAGCGGAGAGTGCGGGACGGGATGTCGGGTTGGACCAGGTCCTGGATGTAAGCTGGACCCCATCCATTCACAGCATGGTACGTGAGCACCAGTGTTTAGAACTGGATGGGCCACCGGTACCAGTGAAGAGAGCGTAGGAGCGGAGGAGTGAGGGAGAACTTAGGTTAAAGACCAGTGGAGCTGCTGCATTCTGGATGAGCTGCAGAGGTGGAATGGTGGTAGCAGGAGACCTGCAGGAGAGAGTTACAGTAGTCCAGGAGGGAGATAACAAGAGCCTGAATCAGTACCTGCGCCGCCTTCTGAGTGAGAAGAGGACGTATCCTCCTGATGTTGTAGAGCGTGTATCTACAGGATCGCGTTGTCGCAGTGATGTTGGGAGTCAGGGAGAGTTGACTGTCAAGTGTCACGCCGAGGTTCCTAAAAGTGGGCATTTACACGGAGTTGCCAAAATTAACAGTCAGGTCCTGGGTCGGAGGGTCTTTTCCCAGAAAGAGAAGTAGTTCAGCCTTGTCGGGGTTGATTTTCAGATGGTGGGTGGACATCCAAGTAGAGATGTCAGTCAGACAGGCAGATCCGTGCCGCCACCTGGGTGTCGAGTGAGGGACGGAGAGAGTTGGGTGTCATCGGCATAGCTGTGGGAGGAGAAGCCATGCAAGCAAATGACAGCGCCGAGAGAGTTGGTGTAGAACGAGAAGAGGAGGGGACCCAGGACGGAACCCTGAGGAACTCCAGTAGTAAGATTACAGATCCTCGCCAGGTTACCCGGTAGGTGCGGCCATCGAGGTAGGACGAGAGAAGGGAGAGAGCAGAGCCTGAGACTCCAAGTTCCTGAATGGAGGAAATAAGGATCTGGTGGTTGACTGTGTCAAATGCAGCAGAGAGGTCCAGAAGGACGAAGACAGACGAGAGAGAGGAGCTCTAGCAGTGTGGAGTTGCTCTGAGACAGCGAGTAGAGCAGTCTCTGTGGAACGGCCTTGAAGCCTGACTGGTGGGGGTCAAGGAGGTTGTTACAGTGGAGATAGGAGGAGAGTTGGTTAAAGAGCGCACGTTCAAGAGTTTTGGACAAAAAGGGAAGAAGAGAGACCGGTCTGTAGTTGTTTTCTTCAGAAGGGTTGAGGGTAGGTTTCTTCAGGAGAGGGTTGACTCTTGATAACAGAGCATTGTTGATGAGACAAGAAGGTCAGGAGCGATAGATTGTGGAATATGTGATGGAATGGGGTCAAGGTAGTCGGACAGGCAGCGGTTACTAGGGTAAGAATTTGCTTAGGAGACAGGGGGGTGAAAGAGGAACGCGAGGGTGAGTCAGTGGGACACAAGTAGTAGGAGGTGGGTTTGAGAAAGAGGAGCGTATGTCAGCTATTTTTTGGGGTAAAATAGTTATCACAGTCTCCTGGAAGAAGGGTGGAGGAGGACTAGGGAGTTCGAGGAGGTTGGAGAAGATAGAGTTTTTTGGGTTAGAAAATGAGGACTCAATTCTGGATTGGTAGAAGGAGCTTTTGGCAGCAGAGATAGAAGCAGAAAAAGAGGAGAGAAGATATTGAAATTCAAGCAGGTCATGAGGTCGTTTATATTTACATCTCCTTTCCGATGCTCGCATGGTGGCTCTCATGGCATCGGTTGAGACAGCCACGGAGCCGGAGGGGATTGGCCAATGCCCCTACGTGTGCGGAGTAGCAAAGACCTGTCCATTGCTGCTCGCAGCTTTTATTTCACGTGTGTTTACTGCTCACACCAACATAAAAGGCCCAGACACACCAGCTATTCAACACAAACAACATTATGTCCTATTTTGCCTTTCTGAATGGTGAGCTGTTTGCATTGCGGCTAGTAGTCGTGTGTGCTACCTAGGGGTTTCACACCTGAGCAAAACAAATGAGAATGCCTTACTAAGTAACTTTATAGGCATAGTACTAACATCCATGTATTCTGGTTGGCTAACAAACTTTACTGACCACTGTGAGCCGTTGTCTCTTTACCCCGTAGATGTCCTATAACATGGTGTGGATGTGTAACCGGCTGGTCCAGTTGAAACTGCTGCCGAAGGGCAATACAGATCCAGATCCACTACAGGTGAGACACTTTATTTCATTAAACTTAAGTCACATATTCATTTATTTTTTATTATTGCAAAATATTGCTCTGGTTGTTCATTATAGAGACCAAAAGTCAAAATTTTGGATCCAGGTTAAATCACAGATGTTTAAGAATGGCGTCATAATCTGTGGCCGCAGGCATGTGATTCTTTCTGATTGCATCTGTAATCATTAGGGGTGTAACGATTCATTCACTGAATCGATTAATCGATTTATATTCCTGCGATCCAACTGAATCGATCTGTGCTCCGCAAATCGGCATTGCGGACGACATATATCGATTACAAACCGATTGAAATGGTACATAATCGATTGTATCGATACCTGGAAACTGCACATTGGATTTAAGTACAAAAACGGTGTGGATGTATGTTTGCTTGTTTTTTAGTATTTTAGACGCGTTAAACGTTACTCGATGCTTCAGTCTGCCTGTCTGTGACGTCATCAGTACGCAGCGGCAGCCGCGCGAAACTCTGAACAACAACAAAACACAGCGTGGAGGAGACGACTGCGAGCGAGACATTTACAAACCAACTTATCGATCCAGCGTGTGGAAACATTTTGGCTTTACACGGAGGTGTTCTAAATAAGTCGCTCGCTGTTTGTAGAATATGTAGAAGACAAATAAAAACCACGGAAACACGACAAATCTTTCCGGCCATCTACTAAGGCGCCGCGGGATTAAACAACGCCGACAGTCAGGACCTCTAGCAGCGTCACCGCTGCAGCAGCAGCAGGTAACTGCAGCTCTGCAGACACCTCAGGCCTCGCCAGCACCAAACTCAACATCACAGTAACGAGTTCAGCTGTAAAGACATGCGACCCTAAAATGTGGTTGAAAATCCGGGGTTCTGTGATTTGATCCAAACATTGTGTAATTATTGTGTAATGTTTACATTGAAAATGGCACTTGATTCCAATAAAAGGTTAATACATTTGCCATTAATTGTTGTTTGCTTGTTTATAATATCCATAATTAATTTAAACCTGATTTCCTTACAATAAACAACAGGGATCTCAGAAACTTTGCCTGCACTGTCCAGTAAAGTTACTGAATCGATTTCAAGTCACTGAATCAAATCGAATCGAATCGTTCTAAATTAACCCAGATCGTCCATGAATCGAATCGGCAACCATGAATCGCGATTTGAATCGAATCGTTGTTAAGATGAATCGTTACACCCCTAATGAGTATCCATATTAGTAGTTCCAGATGCGCAGATACAAAATCTTGTGTTCGATATTAACCAATCTGTACTCCCTTCCTCCAGAGACAATGTGAAAGCGACGTAGAGGACAACGAAAGCAAGCCCGCCTCTCTGCTGCGTCGAAGACTCAGCAGCAGTTCATAAAGCTGAGCAGAGAAAGATTCCAGGATGCATCTCTAAGGGAAAAAGTGAAACAGGCGATGGTACTGTCAAATGAGTGTGCATGACTTCATCTGATGCCTATTTCTCAAGACAAAAAAGCTTTCATTTTATTTCACGTACAATGTATTTTGGTGATGGCAGGTAAAGTTTTTGATAACAGTGTGAAAATAAAGCATATTATAGTATCAAAGAGAAAAATTCTTTAAAATGTCACATGATATTATAAAGGATAACGAACATGAGGAACAATAAAAAGTGTATCATAGTAATAAGTGAGAACAGTAACATTCCTAAAAAGACAAATCTCTCCTCCCCCTTGTTAACAGACCCCCGTTTGGGACTGTGCTTCTATGGGCGCCGTTTGTAAAATGTAATATTTACACTTAACATTTATATTATTTAACAACTTTGTGTTACTGCCAAACCTTATCCTTGGAAAAGTTATTGCATGAATTTACATAAATTTCTCTCTAAATGTTTGAAAAAGTGACATGAATATTGTTGTGTTTTTTTTTACATATGATAATGCTAAATGTACCAAAGCTGCGCAGGATTTTCGAACGTACGACATTTTACAAACGGTGCCCCATATGCTTCTAATCCAGGATGCCACAAAGTCTTCTTGGCCAAATGTTTTTGTAATTTTTATTCAGTTTTTCCACCTCACATACAGGATTCTATGTCTGATTCTACATAACATGGCTACCATATCAGCTGACTTTGGGTCACATAGGTCATCATTTAAAGCAGAATTCTATCATAACTAACCTCCTATTTCTTTACGTACCTCATGACTTTATTTTTGTAATATAACTTATTTACTTAAAATGTTTCTGAAAACTTTTTCTGTTTTGTGTAAAATGTTTTGAATGTTTAGAAAAATTTGAACTTGAGCTAAAACTCAGATTCTAAGCTCCGATAGGAGCTGTCAAACTCAAACCCCCTGATCATTTTCATACTAATGAAGATGCTATATACATTCTAATTAGTAAAGTACTTTATTTTAATCAGTACTTGTTGTTTGACGTCTTGTACTCATGTATTAGGTCACTTGCCTTGTGATGTATGACTTATCACACAATCATACATGTGTTGTAAACAATTTCACCAACTAAACATCTGATCTTTTTGACTGTCATCTGGATTCAGTCAAGACTTGGAACAATGATGACACGTCCGTTTGCACGAGTATCTTGTTTAAAATGACTTGTATCTGTCATTTGACTGCTTAATTTCCTTTTTATCTCATTCGAATGATTCACTTGACAAAGCAAATTGCAGTAGGTCAACAGTGAAACTGCAGTTACTTTGATCACTGCTATACTTGACTAAATATATACAGAACTTTCTGACATACCTCACATACAGAGAGGTTTAATGTGAAAGTTATAATAAAGATTTTGAATGAAATAATATTTGCTGTTTCCTTAAAATAGTATTAAAACAACTGGCCTGTCCTTTCATTTTCCCTCTTCCCAGAGGTCCTCCAAATAGATAAAAAGGACTGGGCCATTGCATCATTTGTAACTTGATTCTGCAAAATGTATTTCCTGCGTTGTCATTCACAAGCAAGGCTTAGAAATGAAAAGTGCCTGGAGGAGAGGAGCGATAAACAAGATATTAGGTAAGGATCGAGCAGTGGAGTGGTAGCTATGGTTGCATGTTTCAAAATTCGCTGTGATGCCAGATTACTGCTCACATGACTCCACCTACATTTGGTTTATGATACCTTATCCCAATATGTATGTTGGTGCTTTGTATGTTCTTAAATAATCATCCATGTTGTTGTGTATCCGAACCCATCTTATAAAGGTTGTCTCGACTGCTCGTAGAGGAACCTATTGTATTTTACTGAATTATTAACCTCTCTAAGGCATTTGGCCTTTTGGGGAGCTCTATCATCCATCCATCCATTGTCAAACCGCTTATCCTGCACACAGGGTCGCAGGGGGGCTGGAGTCCATCCCAGCCAGGCGATAGACAGGGTTCATCCTGGACTGGTCGCCAGCCAATTGCAGAACTAACACAGAGACACACAACCATTCACACTCACATGCACTACGGGCAATTTAGAGTCACCAATTATCATTGTTAAATTTGACATGCATATCAGTACTCGTGTGAAATGTGATATTTCTGGGGTCTCACATTTGGGTATAAAGAAATGTCTCTATAGCTCCCCTAGAAATTTGAAAAGTACCACAGTAGCCCAGTTTTTCCTCCCGATGCCCGATTGACTTGGCACACATGTGCTCTTGGTTAAGCTCTACAAAAAAGCACTGGCTTTTAAAAGCACTTAATTAGATTTTATGCCATTTTGAATTATGTCAAAAACATATTTTTGCCTACTCCTCCTAAACAGTTTCTGTGGATCATTATTGGTTCAATGACATCAGAAGTCATTTAAGTCTTGTAGATATCAAATTGTTTTAATAAGATATGGACCAATGAACTTCTAAGGGGCTCAATATGGCAAGAAACCTAACTTCTAAATTACTTGCCAAAGACCAAACTCCTCCCAGAGATTAAATTTGATTATTTTTAAATTTGTGTGATCTTGAGACCTTTAACTTTAAATATTAAAGCTTGAAAAAATATATCTATGTGACCGCGGAGCATCCGCAAAAACAAAACAAACATTTGGAAGTTTGTTTTAACTCGGTTATACATTATCTAATCTGCTCTACATTTCTCATATGTCATGACCTCCTTACCCTGTGCACATTCATATGATAATTGTTAAACCTTATCAGATAATACTGCATAAACTCCCATTGTTATGCAGACGATACTCAACTTTATCTGTCGATCAAACCAGTAGACGGACCAGCTTGTTAGACTTCAAGAATGTCTTGGAGACAACAAAACTTGGATGACCCGCAACTTCCTGATGCTAAACTCAGAAAAAACAGAAGTTATCCTGATAGGCCCAGAGCGCCTTTGAAGCCAGCTGTCACGTCATACACTTTTTATGGATGGAATTGCTCTGGTACCCAGCAGCACCATCAAGAATATTGGAGTGCTCTTCGACTAGGATATGACCTTCAACTCGCATATAAAGAAGATTTCAAGGACTGCCTTTTTTCATGTAAGTAATATATCAAAAATCAGGAACCTCCTGTCTCAAAGTGATGCAGAAAAATTAGTTCATGCGTTTGTCACTTCCAGACTGGACTACTGTAATTCTTTGTTATCGGGCTGCTCTTGTAAATCTCTTAAGCCTCTCCAGTTGGTTCAGAATGCTGCAGCACGTGTATTAACAAGAACTAAGAAAAGGGATCATATCACTCCTGTATTAACTTCTCTGCACTGGCTCCCTGTTAAATCAAGAATAGATTTTCAAGGTACTTCTCCTCACCTACAAGGCACTTGCTGGTGAGGCACCGTTGTATCTTAAAGAGCTTGTAACACCTTATTGCCCTACAAGGCAGCTGCGCTCCATAGATGCTGGGTTACTGGTTGTTCCTATGGTTTTAAAAAGTAGGCTGGGGGCCAGAGCCTTCAGTTATCAAGCTCCTCTTTTGTGGAACCAGCTTCCACTTTCAGTCCGGGGGGCAGATTCGGTCAGCTCTTTTAAGGTAAAACTTAAAACGTTCCTCTTTGATTCTGCCTATAGTTAGGGCTGGCTCAGGTCAGCCCGGACCAGCCCTTAGTTAAGCTGCTATAGGCTTAGAATGCCGGTGGAATTCTTAGGACACACCGAGCTCCTCTCTCACGCTCTCGTTCTACAATAATTCACGTTTTATTAATGCACATGACTAATTCTGCTTCTTTCCGGGAGTTTTTTGTGCTTTCTCCCCTAGCAGGTCTCCGTAGATTGTAGTTCCTTCTGGACCCTGTGGACCTGCTGCTGCAACTCATCATCATCATTATTATTTTAAATATTAATCATATTACTGTACTCATAAACCAACATTACCCTCTCCTAAAGTCTCTGTGCTCTCCCTCCCCACAGGCTTCTGTGGATGGTGGTTCTATGTGATGGTGGTTCTATCTGATGGTGGTTGTCCCTGCAGTGGTCCTGCTGTGCGCCTGGCTTACTACTCACAATTACTTGAATCATTTCTGTCATAGGAGTTGCATGTATTATACATTGTTCATTCTGTACACATGGCATCCATTGTAGTCTGTCCATCCCGGGAGTGGGATCCTCCTCTGACGTTCTCCCTAAGGTTTCTTCCCTTTTTTCCCTCTTGGAAGGGTTTTTTCATTTTTTGGGGAGTTTTTCCTGTGCCGATGGAGGGTTTCGGGGCAGAGGATGTCGTATGTGTACAGACTGTAAAGCCCTCTGAGGCAAATTTGGGCTGTACAAAATAAAATTGAATGAAATCTAGTCACAGCTAGACGTTTTTTACTTTACACCCTGCTCCTCACAGGTTAATCAGATCTCTCTTAAAAGTTGTCACGAAAGATTGTTGCTACTTTTATTCAGATCTGAGTACTGAGTACTGGGTACTGAGTACCAACACTTTTTGATCTTATTTTCTGTTTTCAGTTCATTCATGCACACACTTGTTTTGTATACAGTTCATGTATTGTAGTGCATGCACTACTCAGCTGTCCGTCATCTCCCACTGTCTGTGGTTGTCCGTTTTCTTTTCACTGTGACTTAAGGATGCATCTGAAGTGTTCATTTATTGGGAAATTAGTCTTTTAGTTTGTATAAGAGCAAATTTTGCAAATTAAGCTTTGTAAAGTGCAACCTGTAATATCATGATGGACAGACCTTTTTTTACATTATAAATTGTACTTGATAGGTTATCTTCTTCCCTTTAATTTTTTTCTACTTAAAACTCTCTGCCATGTCTACTTTTCCTGCAATGGGTCACTCATTGGCGATGATGTCCACTGGGTTTTCTGGAGTTTCAAAACATTTCCTGTATATTCTATTCGGCCGACACTCAACATTTAGGTTAATGCCGTACAAAAGGACCTGCTGAGGCCTACATTCAAATTTAAAGTTTACATTTTGCTTAATACCTGACCATTGTGGCCTCTCTCCATCCACGGCTCCTGCTGTCTAAATGTCCAGGTGTAATTAAGCAAGACACTGAATGGCTCCTGGGTTCTGTACAGTACCCCACTACTGATACTTGAAGGTCAAATTGAGTCTATATATATATATATATATATATATATATATATTTATATGTATGGAAATCATTTTTTGTGATATATTTGAGGTTTTTGTGTCCACAATTTTTGATATGGAGTACGTAACAAGAACCGCCATGGACACATTTCATTAGCGCAAGCTTTTTTCTCCTCTTGTTTCACCTTGTTAGAGAACAGAGTAGACACAGAAAACATTCAATGAACAATGGTCATTAGACAGAGACTAGAAACCCCGTGAGAAGGAGCCAGTTCAGCAGATAAATAGAGCAAGAAACAAAGTAAAGCTGGAAGACAACTTTTCCATTCAACAGTTGAGTAATGAGATGCACGAGATGGTGCTGATGGGTGGTGCTGGTGGGCAGGAGGGCCCAACTTGGCAGGACGGTGGAGCTTCTGGATGGTTAGCTAAAAAAACACAAGACGCAAGAGATGGTGGTGAAGAACTACATTATTTCATTGAGTATTTTCACATACTTTAGAACATGTCAAAAGGGGAAGTTATTGGAAGAAATGTCAATGTCATATTCATTTTTTCTGACATAACACTGACTGGAATGAAGTTGCATGATCGGCAGCACAACTTAAATCTCACCCTACAACACAACACTCAAATTAAACCTGTCCCATCTGGCAAATTCTACAAAGGAGTGAATCCGTCATTCAGAGGTTTTTAAAGGATGCATGTTCGTATCCTCTTTGCCCCAAAGGACCCACAGTTCTATGCGCAGCATGCACTTTATTTTAAACTAAATAAACCTGCACATATTTCAACTCAGCATTCTAACAAAGTCTAACCAAAGCCGGTTTGATGAGTTTTATTTCATTTAAAGTACAACTATTGTGTCTTGCAATGGAATCTGCTGACTGAAGCAAGCTTTAATTGTATGTTTTTGAAGTTACACATTTCACTAATGAAAATATATACATGTTTTGATTATTGAGGAATTATAAATTCCAAACCCATCCCGGTCTTGGTTTTGATTTAGTTTGTTTCCTGGTTTATTGTAAAATGACCCGCCTCCTTTTTGGCAGCTGTAATAAGCAGAATTACAAACTGAGGGGTCAGTGTACAATAAAGTTATTTTTGATCCACAATTACAGGCTGCCTCATAATAAACTTCTCCATAGGAAATGTCACATATCACTCACATAGATGTCATGTCATTCAGGGCGTGGTCCAGTTCCTCGCTGATGGCTTTGTACTTCAGCTTCTGTGCATAAAGCTCATCTTTGTGTCCATACAGCAAGAGGTGTTGTAAAGGGAACGGGAAACACAAGATAGACTCATATTAGTATTGTGGAACATGTGATGAGATCTTTTGTGACAAGAAATATTGCAGGGCCATAGAACCTTCAACCCTGATTTGAAACAGGGTTCACCCTCTGGAAATGATTCGTCCACATCCAACGTGGAAATGTGGGAACAGACAGTTAGGTAGAACCATAGAAATACAATAGGAGTAATTTGGCAATTGTGATTAGTCATTATGGTGACAACACACATTAGTGGGGCCGTAAAGTGCTGTGGCAGCTATGGAGACGTACGTCAGAAAGGTTAGCTGTCGGTGTGAAAACCTTTTTCTACTGTCATACAGAACAGGACATTTATATCTAAGCTGTAAACAAAGTATTACTATCTTATCAGCATATACTAAAATGGATCTGATAATAAAGTACAGTGCAAAGAGCTTGTTAATCACAATTACCGAGATATACCGCAAAATGTTAATTTACTATATATATATATATTTTTCTTTTTCTCTCTGGATAAAAATGACTACTTTTAGTTGGATGCATACATGACATCCTACACTTTAATCGCACATGAAGCAGAGCACAAGTGATGACACGCTAATGTACTTGTATGAGTGGTAAATGGGAATTAAGAGCAACCTAGATTATTTGTACAAAACGGACTCACTCATGAACGTTCCCCTAGAGCACAGACTTAGGAGTCTGGGAGGTTGCTAAAGCATTCACTTTGTCGGTGAAAAAGCGCACCCATTTGGATATCAGACCTTTTTAAGTCTATGTAAAGGGCACCCTCAGGGTTGGTTGGTAAGTGTATTCTATGTATACCTTCCAGATCATCAATGGTCTTCTCCAGCTTTGCCACAGATCTTTCAGCAAACTCAGCCCGGGTCTCAGCCTAAGATGACAACGTCAGAAGACATCTAAAGTCAAAAACTAAAGTCAACCTTTGCGGTCTTAACACATCGCTCAGTCTCTGATGCTGTAGGATGGTTTTATATTGAGGAAAGTATTGGTTATTCGTCTTGTCTCACCTCTTTCAGCTTGTCAGTCAAGATCTTGATCTCTTCCTCATATTTGTCCTCCTTTTGAGAGTACTGCAATGAGAAACAACATTATTTAAATGCTTAAATAGAAAGTGGAAATGAACAGTTTACATTTGGCAGATTCTGGAAAACCTTGTATTACCAACACCATCATTTAGGAAATTCACAATATTTGCAGAAAGCAGTCGGGATCAGGAAAATACATATTAATGACTAAAAGTCTATGAAAAGAACACTACATTCTGCTGAAAAACCAAATGTTGGCCCAGCAAAGGACTAACGTTCAAAGCAGTTTTCCTGAAATACAGTAGTTAAAACATTTACAATGAGATTGGTGGTAAGGGAACCAGTTTGGACTCGTCTCTGTGTGGACTTGTGTCTCTCTGCCTTTGTGCAGTGATGGTCTTGTGCTATCTGTGCTCTAACAAGAAAAGGTCCATGGGAATCTGTCTTTTGTTTTGGATAAAAACAAGAAACGTTCATTGTGATTGCTGTGTGTTTTGTTATGCCCCGGTTTGTTTATTTCGTCATGTGTTTGTTGTCATTGTCCGTAGACTCCGCCCTCTGCCCGTTGTCATTCACCTGTCCTCTATCTCCCTGATTGTTTCCCCTGTGTCTGGTTAGTTTCCCCTCCTATATATAGGTGTGTCTTTCTGTTGTTCCCTGTCAGATTGTCATTCGGGGTTTCTGTACCTACATGTTATGAGAACTGACAGTTTTTCTGTTTTTGTGTTTTGCCCTTTTGGAGTCTCTACATCTTTCAAGTGAGAAACCCTAACTATGTATGCTATGTTTGTTTCCCTAGTCATTTATTTAAGTTTTCATTTGTTACCCTATATGCAGAATAACTAAAGCAACTTTGAGTTGTGCAGTTTATCTTTACCTTCTCAGCCTGGGCCTCCAGAGACTTCAGGTTATTGGTGACGTTCTTCAGTTCCTCCTCCAGTTCAGCACATTTGCTGTAGAAGTTTTGATTTCAGGGAAGGAAGGAAGGAAGGAAGGAAGGAAGGAAGGAAGGAAGGAAGGAAGGAGAAGTAGTAAGAAGGACGCCAATTTAATTTCAAGATACTATGGTGATAAATTCACATTGTAAAAAGAGTATTCAGGTTCTTCCCTTGAATAAAACGGGTGAGACACAAGTAAAGAAATACTCCTCAGGCTGTGAGACATCTCTGTTCATCATCAGGACTTCACCATTAAGAACACCTTGGTTTTATTTTGTTTAGTATAGAATAAAGGGAAACCAGCCCTGACCACACACACACACACACACACACACACACACACACACACACACACACACACACACACACACACACACACACACGGTGATGAGACTTACGCTTCAGCAAGTTCTGCCCTCTCCTCCGTTCGCTCCAGCTCTGCTTCTACAATCACCAGTTTACGAGCCACCTGGACAGATGCATTAGAGATCAATGTGTGGGACTGGTCGGTTACAAGGATGAGTGCTGGTGTCTCAAACGGTGGGTTTATTGTGAAACGCCATTGTCAATTCTGCAGCGGTGCATGTAGAAAATGCTCCTTTGAGATGCTCGTGAGAAAGCTGTATTCTAAGACTTCTCATTCACAAACTCACCTCCTCATACTTGCGGTCTGCCTCCTCTGCGATGTGTTTGGCCTCCTTCAGCTGAATCTCCTGAAGCTCCATCTTTTCTTCATCTTTTTGAGCCCTGTTCTCAATCACCTTCATACCTCTGTGCACACAAGCCATTACTTATTTCTTACCTCAAAAATGTTCTCCATTTTTAGCATTCTATTCTATTCAAATATTCTATCTATAAAAAAGTGAATTATGGATGGATGACTTCGCTATTGTGAGAATTACACAAGGACATAAATTGGATTTCTATAAAAGTGGCTGCTATTCCTAAAAAGTCCACTGGGGATGCCACTCTGTGGGTGAGCGCATGCGTTGGACCAGCAGGTCGTTCACCAACGCTGTGCCGCCAGATCTTTTCCATTGGAAAATAAGATATATCAGGTCAGGTGACCACGCATGCGCCATCGCTTCTGACAGACGAGACGCTTGTTGTATGCAGCGCTGTTGTTCCGTCTGGTTACTGCTACTTCTGGTAATTATTATTATTCGAGTGGGAGGGTAGATCGCCATGACTTGGGTTGAAAAGTTGAGTGAAATGTAGCTCGCAAGTTGAAAAAAGTGTGGGGACCCCTCCCTTAGACCTCTTTGACTATGGCCTTAAGCCTAGTTTATGCTTCTGCGTTTTCAGAGAGACGCAAGGACACGCAAGACCTCCTCCCCCTATGATTTTTAATGGTCTGGATCAAAGTAGGCATTATCTGGCCCAAACCTTAAATGAGTTTGACACCCCTGCCTTAGAGAGTCACGGGGGATGGAGTCAAGTTAACATCACCTGGTCGCCAGACACTCACAGGGCTGACATGGAGACATTCACACCCCTACAGAATAACCCCCAGAGCATGTCTTTGGACTGTGGGAGGAACATGCAAACTCAACACAGAACGGCCACTGATCAGATTAGTATCAACTCTTCATTATGTCAATTGTAATGAAAAAGTGGTGTGAAACATTATACTTCCTCAGTCTTGCAATCAACCATATGTGGTCATTAGCTAGTCAGTGGGGCACAAACACATGGACACATAGACTGACATGTACTGAAGTAAGTGGCAATCGGGCCAGCTGGCTCTGTGTACAGAGAGAAGGAGCTCTGATAACAGCACACCCAGGGAGACATTACTCCTCTGGAAGTTGTCAGATGATCTCTATGTTGAATATGTCGGGTCGCAGGGGCAACAACTCCAGCAGGGGACCCCAAACTTCCCTTTCCCGGGCCACATCTACCAGCTCTGACTGGGGGATCCCAAGGCGTTCCCAGGCCAGTGCAGAGATATAATCTCTCCACCTAGTCCTGGGCCTTCCCCGGGGCCTCTCCCAGCTGGCCGTGCCTGGATCACCTCCCTAAGGAGGCGCCGTGGGGGCGTCCTCACCAGATGCCTAACTACTCAAAGCTCCTCACGAATGGCTGAGCTGCAGTGATGTTCAGGTGTATTCCAGGACCCTGTGGCATCACTGCTGGTGACAGTAGGTGTAACAGAGCATGTTTCTGTGGAGAAACCCTGGTCCTCTTCTGTTGCCATGATTTGTAATGTGAATTATCCCTCTAATCTATGAACACTGATCACAGTGACCGCAGAAAATCACCTTTCACTCTCATCAGCAGCCTTCTCTGCCTCCTCCAACTTCTGCAAAGCCGTTGACAGTCTCTCCTGAGCTCGATCCAACTCCTCCTCCACCAGCTGGATACGTCGGTTCAGGGAAGCCACTTCTGCTTCAGCCTGAGCACAGAAAATAATGGTCGGAGTGAAAAGGACTTTTACCTCGGTGTAGACGCTGCCGCGTGTAGAAAACATGTTCCTTGCTGAGAAGCATTACCCTTTTATCATGGTTCACCATCTGTAACAAAGCCTGTGTCGGCTGCATTGTCCTACTCGTAATAACGCTTGCTGTAATGGGTTATATAAGGCATGCACCTTCAAATGCTGTGTGATGTTCTTTCTTTCTTTAAATAAACACCTAGCTGGTGATGGTGATGGGGGAGTGTGACGTTTACAAGGTATGACAAATCCTAGAATAATAATGGATGAGAAGACATTTAGAGTTGATACACAGGCAGGGGACATCATGGTTAAACATTGGAAAACAGTAGGGGCAACAACTCGACCATTGCTGTTAAGGGTTTAATGTTACAACATACAATATTGGGAGCATTTGGATTTGTCTCTTAAAGGCTCTCCACATCCCGGATCTGTCTTATAGATATGATATCACATTATATCGCAATCGCAGCCACCAAGCAAAAAATATAGCCTGAACTAAGGCTACTAACTTCCTAATGGTTTGTGTTCCTTTCCCCTTCATTTCCCTGTATCCCCTCCTAATTCAGAGCCTTCACCAAGTGCAGTGAAGACGGGTGGTGTGTGACCTATTGGGATGGTGTGCTCTGGGTCAAAATGCTTCGGTCCACCGCTGTTTATACTTGATTGGTTTTTAAAGGGGAAAGTCCAGTCATCATATGAGATGGTTTGAAAGGTATTGTTTTTAATGCTTTCAATGATAAAAAAGAGATACAGTTAGATAATAAATAATTTGGATCCAGCTGCTCCTGAAACTACGGCCTTACACTTGTATTTTGTTTCAGGCATTCTTAGAGCAGCGGCCTCTGCTGTCAGCTGTGCTTTCTATATGTAGAACCTGAATAACATTTTTCAGCAATGACTGAAAATGAAAAGAGGCACGAGACTAAATGGTAAATGGTCTGTACTTGTATAGCGCTTTTCTAGTCTTCTGACCACTCAAAGCCCTTTAACACTACATGACATCATTCACCCATTCACACCCATTCATACACTGATGACAGGAGAACCACACACAGTGACACCTGCCCATCAGTAACTAACATCCACACACTGTAGTCGCAGCTACAGGAGCCATGTTGGGTTAAGTGTCTTGCCCACACATCGACACGCGGGTTAGCCGGACCTGGGATCGAACCGACAACCCTCTGATTGGAGGACGACCTGCTCCCACTCACCCACAGTCGAGACTAAAGGATGGAATGTTGGCCTTCCTTCCTTCAATGGTTGTCAGATTAACAGGAATCGTAGTCATACATGTTAATATGGTAAGTCTGTTGTTCATTTGCTCTATTAGCTAGTGTACATAATTAAAATCTTTTATTTTTTTCGGTTGCCTGCTTATTCTCTCCAAAAGTAAACGGACTAAATAAATACTGTGACCCAGGAGGAATGGATGATGCACCCAAAATGGACTTGGACCATTGTTAAGCATGCAGTCAAGGTTGAGCGACTGACATCATGGCCGAAATAGGCCACTTAATCCCCCCCAACAGCTGTGAGGAGTCCATGCACAGCATAATGACAATGGAATGCAAGGGAGACGCAGGGAATCAGCCAGGCCTGGTTTACACTGACACCATCACATCACGTTTTGAAATAAGCATAGACAATAATGTAATAAAACGCTAAGTAATAATAATAATATGATGGAAGTTTGTATTGCACTTTTGGAATTGTATTACTCACATCAGCAGCCTTCTTATCAGCCACCTCAAGCTTTTCCTGAGCATCCTTCAGGGCCTCCGAATACTTGTCAAGCTCGTCTTCAGTCCCCTTCAGCTTCTTTTGCATTTGCAGGAGTTCGTCTTCATGCTGAGGTCATTGGAGATCAAACACTAGTTAGCAATGTGTTCATTGGATCATTTTTTGTCGTGCTTAATACATTGATTATAATGCACTGGAATTGAACATAACATCGTTTTCAACATGACTATGAATATGTACATCTTAGCACCTACTATTATTCCTGCTGGCCATCATATTCCCTACCATTATAACAGGGGGGGCCCCCCCCCCACCCGCTGAAAAAGTGTGCAATTTAAAATATATATATATATATATGAATACGTTGCGAATATGTCCATGTGACTACTACCCCCCGGTTGGCTTTGGCCGACTATCACCCCCCTGTAAGTCTGTTCTGGAGGAGGGATTCTTTTGTAGGTTCTTCTATTGGGTTTTTATTTAGTTCACTTTATTTTTTTTTCAATTTCATTTTTGAAGAGTTTTTTTCCGATCCAAATTTAGGGGCTAAGGACAGAAAGTGTTGTACGCTGTAAAGGTTATAAAGTCCTGTGAGGCAGATTTGGGATATTGGGCTGTATGACCTCACTAAAAGATGGTATTAACTTGAATTTTTACTCCAAATGATAATTGAGGATTTTGTTGTTTTGTCACACAGAGAGATCTGTTAATGACCACTTTAACTGCAGGTATTAATACAGCAAGAAGAACCTGTTTCAATATGGGGTTCTCACTATTGGTTACATATAGATTTGGGAAATCTAATGCACTATTCTGTAGTCTGACCTTTCTTTTACTCAGGTACCAACAAATAAATCATTTTTCAAACGTTTTCATGACATATTACATGCAACCCATGGCCAGTTATGTACTAATTGAGGCAGCAGTAGCTCACAGACAGAGGACTAGTGGACTAGTAGTTGGAGATGCCCTTGAGGTAGACACTGAACCTCCAAAGCTGTGTATTTCCTGCCCACAGCTGTCAAAGTGTTATACAAACACAACATAGTATAATGTACTGTAACAAATAGTAGAATACAAAAAACAGAGAGAGTCAGTAGTTTTATTCAGGATGGCTCTGATAGTATCCTTTCTCAGTCTTTCACATCAATTTGATAGCTCTCCAAAGTTGCAGTCTCACTCTTTGAAAGGAGCACCTGGATCGTCCATTGGAATGATAACCACATCCATATCCTCCCCAAGGTAAACTGATAGCTGGGTGCCAGTTACCCAACTATCAGACTTCCACTGAGTGTACAGCTTTCTCATGGCAGAGGACATAAGGACTCGCTCATCCAAGTCACATAAAATCCTGATGCTTTAGTACACAACAGCTCCCATATACAGAGAAAGTGTTTAGGTTGTGTTGCTGGAAACTAGAACCAGGACTTCCACCTCTGTGTCTGTCTCGCACCGATTGTCAGATGACAGGTGGTCACTAATTCTTTTAGGGAAGTTCCACCATCCTAGAAGAGGGATCCCTCCACTATCTCTCTCCCCCCTTCCATCATTTTCTGCCAGTTTTTTTTCCTGTGTTAAGGGTTACAGGTTATAATGTCAAATGTGTAAAGATTGTAAAAGCCTCTTAGGCAGATTTGTAATGTCGGGCGCTACAAAATGAAATGAATTGGAGCAATGCCTAAAGTGAACCATCCCTTGTGAAAATGTGATGAAGTGACTGGGCTTCCAACTGTGTTTTGAGCAGACTGTATCTGTTTTGTGTTGGAAGTGTTTACTGTCATTTGGCCATGGAGGCACCTGAGTGGCACACTGGTTGGAACAGTCAATGAGTTGAGCGGAAACCTGGTCCTACGGAGCGCGGTAGCTGGCAATGGGCGGAAAGGAAACGCCTCCATAACGGGCTGGGCTACTTTGGGAAGTGAGTCCACAACAGAGGAAGTCTAGCAGGGCCCCTGGCTGGCAGACGTCTTCTCCAAAACATTCTCCAAAAGAACCAACAAGCCACTGCTGCTTGGCTCATGCTGTGGTGGGGACGAATAACCAGTTCAGTGGAGTGGCAGGGTTTGATTCCTGGCTCTACTGGTGTCCATGCCAATGTGCCCTTGGGCAAGGGACTTTACCCCAAAAAAGCTCCCGTACCTGTGATCACTGTGTGTGTGAATGGTGTCAATGTTAGTAAGCAGCAGTAAATAACTGGTAGCTAGTGTCGGCCGTGTGTGAATGGGTGTGTGTGGGTGAATGATGGCTTATAGTGCTAAAGAGGTTTGAGTGGTCGGAAGATTTGGAAAGAGAAATACAAGTACAGTATCTCTTATCTACGATTTACAGAAGAATTCCTCTTAGCTATCGTTGTACAAAGTCTTCCCATTGACTCCTCAGGACTCTCCACATCTTTCTTTGCAGACTAATAAGACTTTACTTAAACTACACGTTTTCCCAAAACATAATTTAAAAAAACAATATATGTTATAATTATTTTGGATTGTGTCCAATGTTCTTTAATTTAACTCGCTTTGATAAAAGCTTGAGTTAAAGCACTATTTTCTTTTTTGTTGCAACAAATCCTCAAGCCAAAATGTGTAGAAGGGCTGGCTTAGTGACAAACGTGATGATTTTCAATTAGATGGTGGACATTGTTTTTATACATTTTTATGAACTCAATTTTCATGTTAACTAAACAAATACGTGATAAAATATAGAACAAATTATGGTTTGACATACTGGGAGAAAAAAATAAATATTAAAAATAAATAGCTAAATTAAAATACTTTATATGTGAACTAGTTGACGCTTTTATCCAAATCAACTTGCTATAGATAAGAGCCATTATAAGTACACTGATAGAAGGCAGAATGTGGCATAGTTTGATATTGAAATTGAAATTAGTAAATAATTTTGAAATATGACATAAACAGAATATTTAACTTTGTAACTCACTTAACTGAAAATGTTCAAGGAATAGAATGACAGGAGTAAAACTTAGATTTATGTATATGAACCGATTACTCTAATTGCAAGCTGGGATTCCGACCACATTTAGTTTATGTAATTGCAATCTTAGTAGTGAGTTAATTATACAAATGCTGCTCATGGTTTTATTTAAGAGAGAGCAAAAATACTTCATCCAGTTTATTTATCTTCAAACTGCGTTCAAAGAATGTAATTGATGAGCAGATCCAGTTATTTAGCCTGTTAACCGGATTGAGGACTCGATTTGGGCGGGTTCCCAATTTTTCTTTGTGTGATTGGATCTAAATGTAGTGCGTCTGTGTTCATTACCCACCTGCTTGCTTCTGTCTTCGGCTGCTTTCTTGTCGGCTTCAGCTTGTTCAGCCTGGTCCAGTGCATTCTCCTTGTCTAACTTTAGCATGAGCATCTTCTTCTTGATGGCCTCCATTTTGGCTGAGGTTTGGCTAGTGGATTTTAGAAGCCGTGCAGAGATTTGAAGACGTGACAGCCTGGTGGAGACAGTAAACTCTGTCAAGGATAGAGGGAGCGCATTTATATGACCGAGGAGTGGACACTCCCACTGCTATGCCTCTACTAAACTCTCACACAACTACACCCTCCTCTATCTCCAATAATCACCTCTCAAATGAAGAGCAAACCTGCACACTAACTACACGTATGTTGCATGTATGTCTTCATACTTAACTGAAAAAAGTCCTCATTCTACCCTTTATTGACATCAAGGTCTGACCTGGTCCTTGTGATGTGGCTTCTAAATAAAATAAAACATTGTAAAGAATAGCAATATAACCTTCATTTCCCCGCATGGGATCAAAATAGTTTTTCTGTTGTGAAATATATTTTTTTGTCTGACAAAATGCTCAAATTACAGATCAGTTATAGGTTGAACTATAGTTATAGGAGTGAAATGTTATGTTTAAAATTCTTCATGGTTTTCTGATTCTTCTTCTTCTAGTAGTTATCCTCAGGCTGCTTATGATCAAAAGTATGTTGTAACGGGTTTGCATATTCAGTTGCACTCATTTGGTCACCACAATGTTAAACAGCTGTTGCTGCCATTAATAAGCCGAGCACTCGGGATCTTGAGATACGGCTCAGAAGGTAGAGTGAGTCTCCCTCAATCAGAAGACCATTGGTTTGTTCCTCAGCTCCTCTAGTCCAAGTGTCTAAGCTTCCCTGTGCAAGACACTAACCCCAAATTACTGCTCTGCATGCTGTGTATGAATATGCGTGAAATGTGGGAGTGAAATGTATTGAAAAGTGCTTTGAAAGATCGGAAGACTTGACCGGTACTAATATAAAGACCATTTAATATCAAGTACAATCTGATGGAACCAAGGCCAGGATTCTCCTTTGTGTATAGAGAGTATATCAGGCAATGTAATTTGCATCAACCATCTTGTGATGGTGTGATAGGTTGTGAGACAGAGCGAACACAATACAAAGTGACTCCGAGGAGGAATGGCTGTCCTGTAACCCTACTCCATCACCTGGCCTGTAATGTCTATAATTGGATTTCTCCTGGGATGGACAGAGCACAGGGCCAGGGGGGGGACTATGTCAGTAATTCCTCGCTCTAGGCCCCAGCTGGTTATTAATAAACATCTTTTGGCTGACATTGTCCTGTAGATTAGAAGAAGAGACTAGCTGTAAACAGAAATAGGCTGAGATGATTGCTGAGAGAAAAGATTTATTTGTGAAGACTGTTTTTAATACGACTAGCTGAAAACCACCAAAATACAAACCGACTGATATCTGTCTCCCGTGTAGTGTCTGTGTAACAAACCGTTGGACAGCAACTGTGGTGGCGGGGTGTGGTTCAGTGGTTCAGGGGACGGTGCCGGTAGTTGAGTAAGAAGCACAGGTGGAAGTGATCTGGACTGATTGTCTCCCTCTTGAAAAGCAGTGAGCAGGACCTGGAGCGAGAGCGTGAGTGGGCGATCCGCCTGTTGCCGCTCCTGACCGGGGAGGCACAGACAGCAACCCTGGGTCTGCCACCCGGGTCCAGGCATGTCTACACCGACGTAAAAAGGGCGATCATGGACCGGCTGGGGCTCTCCCCCGAGGACCACAGGAGGCAGTTTCGGGAGGCGAGGCTGGGGCCGGGGGACCGCCCATTCGCGTTCACCGGGGGGCGTGGGAGGAGCGCCGGCGGTGGTGGAGAAGGTGGTGGTGAAGCAGCTCCTGTAGGGTCTGCCGCCACATCACTGAGCTGAGCTAAGGACCAGCTGGCGGTTTACCCCGGCGGGCAGGGAGAGGGCGGTCGGCCGGCCACAGCCAGTCCCCGTCCCCACGCCACGAAAGAGGTTATCGCAGCAGGGCCCCTAGCCCTTCCACGGGGTACTGATCCATCCGGCCTTACCGGAACTCTCCCCAACCTACAGAGTGCTCCTCAACCGCCAGGGCAGGAGTGTTGGAAGTGCGAGCAACCCGGACACTACCGGCGGGAGTGCCCGCTGATGGAGGTGGGCCAGACGATGCGGGTTGCCGGGCCTCCAGCACCCTCCCCCGCTCCAGGAGCGACGTACTGCGTTCCGGTAAGGATCCAGGGGGTACACATCAGGCGATGGTGGATTCGGGCTGCACGCAGTCTATGATTCACCAGAGGCTGGTTCGACCCGGGGCATTGGTGGAGGCATCCCGGGTGAGTATTAAGTGTGTGCATGAGGATATTCACAACTACCCAGTGGTGCCGATAGATATCAGGTTTGGGGGTAAAAAGCATAAAGAAAAGGATGCGGTTAGCTCCCGCCTAACGCACCCCATGATCTTGGGGACAGATTGATCTGGGTTTCACCCGGCGGAGCCCCCAATGGAGACGCCGCTGGTTCCTGAATTACGCTCCATGGAAGATTTTCCACTGGAGATGTCTCGTGATGATACTCTACACTTTGCCTTCATGGTCAAATGGTGCGCCCCGACACAGCATTATCATACCTGCACTTTTCACTGATTAGGGACAGGCTATACAGAGTGAGTCGTGACACTCAAACAGGTAAGGAAAATGCCCAATTGTTGGTACCGAATAGCCGTCGGGAAATAATTTTCCAGGCGGCTCACTATAACCCCATGGCGGGCCACATGGATAGCGATAAAACTCTGGATCGGATAGTGGCCCGATTTTACTGGCCAGGCATCTAGGCGGATGTGCACCGATGGTGAACCAGCCGGCCATCCCGAGAGCACCGTTGCATCCGCTACCGTTAATGGAGCTGCTTAGGTATGGACCTCATCGGGCCATTTCACCGGAGTGCACGGGGGTATCGCTTTGTGTTAGTTATGGTAGATTACGCAACCCCATATCCCGAGGCAGTGCTGTTGCGCAGCATCTCCGCCAAGAGTGTTGCGCAGGCGCTGTTTCAGGTAATCTCTCGAGTCGGAATCCTGAAAGATATTCTGATTGACCAGGGCACCTCGTTCATGTCACGCACACTGCGGGAACTGTACGAATTACTGGGGGCTAAGTCTGTTCGGACCAGTATGTATCACCCCCAGACTGACGGCCTGGTGGAACGACTGAATAGGACGTTAAAATCCATGATTGGTAAGCTCATTCACGACGATGAACGTAATTGGGATAAATGGCTTGATCCTCTGTTGTTTGCCGTACGGGAGGTTCCCCAAGCCTCCACGGAATTTTCTCCCTTCGAGCTGCTGTTTGGCAGGAAACCACGGTGGGTGCTCGACCTACTTAAGGAACACTGGTAGGAGGGTCCTGGTAAGAACGAAATTCAGTACGTCCTCGACCTGCGAGCCAAACTCCACACAGTTATCACGTGAGAATTTGCTCCAGGAGCGTCAACAACGACTGTACAACAGAGGGGCCAAGCTGAGACAATTTACACCTCGAGAAAAAGTGCTTGTATTGCTTCCTTCTTCTAGCTCAAAACTACTCGCCAAGTGCCAAGGGCCCTTTGCGGTTACACGGCGGGTAGGGGACGTCGACTATGAGGTGGTGCGATCTGACAGGGGTGGAGCTACACAGATCTACCACCTCAACCTCCTCAAGGCATGGAGGGAGGTGGAGTCCGTGTCCCTGGTGTCTGCAGTAGCGGAGAGCGAGGAGCTGGGGCCATAGGTCCCAAAGTCCACCGATCCAACCCGGCTCCCATTCAACGCCCATCTCTCTGCAGCCCAGCAAGCGGACATAGCCTGGTTGCAAGATCAATTTAATGTGTTCTCCTCTCTGCCAGGTCGCACGGATCTCATAGTACATTTAGGCGTGACGTTGCTGACGCGGCCCTACAGGTTACCTGAACACAAAAGGAAAATTGTTCAGCGAGAATTTTCCGCTATGCTGGAGATGGGATGTAATAGAGGAGTCCAACAGTGCCTGGTGCAGCCCCATCGTTCTTGTCGCCAAGAAGGACGGCTCGATAAGGTTCTGTGTGGACTATCGCAGAGTGAATGCGGTGTCACGGTTTGATGCGTACCCGATGCCCCGGGTCGACGAACTCCTGGACCGATTGGGGACCGCGCAGTTTTTTATGACACTGGATTTGACCAAGGGCTACTGGCAGATTCCCTTGTCACCAGAGTCCAGGGAAAAGTCGGCTTTCTCCACTCCGTTTGGATTATACCAATTCACCATAATTCCCTTCGGGTTGTTCGGTGCCCCGGCCACCTTCAAGCGCCTCATGGACCGGGTGCTGCGTCTGCATGCTGCGTATGCTGCCGTCTACCTAGATGACGTCGTCATACACAGCACCACGTGGGCGGCGCATGTGCAGCGGGTGGGTGCGGTGCTGGAGTCTCTGAGGCAGGCCGGGCTCACGGCCAACCCGGGGAACTGTGCAGTTGGACGGAGGGAGGTACGGTATCTGGGGTACCACTTGGGCGGCGGGAGGCTGCGCCCTCAGGTGGACAAAACCGCAGCCATCGCAGCCTGCCCGTGGCCCAAGACAAAAAAAGAGGTGAGGCAGTTTTTGGGGATGGCGGGCTACTACAGGAGGTTCATCCTGGGCTTTGCGGAACTGACCAGCCCCTTGACTGACCTGACCCAGAAAGGTGCATCAGATCCGGTCCAGTGGACGGAGCGGTGCCAGTGGGCGGTTGAGGGGGTGAAACGGGCCCTCTGTGAGGAACCACTGCTCCATACACCTAACTTCTCTCTCCCTTTTGTCTTGCAGACTGATGCGTCGAGCGGAGGGCTGGGGGACATTTTGTCCCAGCAGGTGCAGGGGGTGGACCGCCCGGTCCTCTAAATCAGACGGAAGCTGTCGGAGAGAGAGGGCAGGTACAGTACGGTGGAGAAAGAGTGCCTGGCCATCCGGTGGGTGGTCGACTCCCTGCGGTACGACCTCCTGGGACGCCAGTTCACCCTCTGTTCGGACCACGCCCCGCTGCAGTGGCTCCACCGCATGAAGGATACCAACGCCCGGATCACTCGGTGGTATCTGGCTCTACAGCCTTTTAACTTCAAGGTGGTCGATAGGCCGGGGGCGCAGATGGTCGTGAAGGACTTCCTCTCCCGCCCTCAGGAGGGAGGGAGGGAGTCGGTTCGGCCGGATGGCTTCCCGGCCTAAGTCGGGCGGTGGGGGTATGTGGTGGCGGGGTGTGGTTAGCTCAACTGCAGAGGGGAGAGCGGGAGAGTGGTTCAGGGGACGGTGCCGGTAGGTGAGTAAGAAGCACAGGTGGAAGTGATCCGGACTGATTGTCTCCCTCTTGAAAAACAGTGAGCAGGACATGGAGCGAGACACTGGAGCAGACGCTCAGGGGCGAGGCTGAGGAGCGGAGCAGAGCAACACTGGAACGAAATAAATGAAACCTGCTCACTGCAACCAGAAAAATAAAAGACATATTGCTCAGTAGACCCGTGTGTCCGTGCGTCCTTAACGGATCCCGACGGTGGTAGTGATATCGCAGCTACAGCATCCTTTTCTATTATGTGCCCGGCCCAGTGTCACCTGAGTGTGCTCATATACTGTATATGGCGACAACATTATGGTCTATGTATAATTCTAGTCAATTAGCAGTCATTGATAATAAACATATGTTCTCAGAGTGAAGAAATAACATATTTGTATTTAACTAGATCTGAAATATCCATCCATCCATCCATTGTCAATCCGCTTATCCTGCACACAGGGTCGCGGGGGGGCTGGAGTCCATCCCAGCCAACTTCGGGCGATAGACAGGGTACATCCTGGATTGGTCGCCAGCCAATCGCAGCACAGAGACATACAAGATACATACACATTCACACATCTACGGGCAATTTAAAGTTCCCAATCGACCTGATCCCCAGAGCATGTCTTTGGACTGTGGGAGACCCAGAGAGAGAACCCACGCAGACACCACACAGAAAGGCCACTGGGCGGAATCGAACCCAGGACCGTCTTGCTGTGAGGCAACAGTGCTAACCACCACGCCACCGTGCCGCCCGATCTGAAATATATTGTTGTTATAAAAAAGTTATTGCACCAATCTCTACTTCCCTTCACTTAAGTTAAGCATGCAGTTTCCACAGAAATGTGCTCAGGTCAGTCTCAATATAAATGGATGTACATCATTAGATATGAGGGGAATTAATTAACAGAACTGCAACAGCATCATCGTCAGTCTGCTTTTACCCATCTCCAACTGGGAAATACATTTTTCAACACTGACACATTTTTATAACATTTTTTATGTAGTAATACATTTTACACAAATGACAATGTTTTACAAAAGTACTGCCCTTGTTTTATGTTCGGCCTTACAGTGTCACTAACAAATAAAGCATCTACTGACTTCATAATACTTCATTCGTGTTATTACAATGTAGGCATTGAATGGTATTTGCCATCGAACAATCGAATCATTCTGCATTTTTAGGCAGAGAAATACCACTCGGCGATTGCTGACTAAAATGCATTCAGCAGAATAGTACACATGCAGTTGCAACATTGTTAAATGAGGTCAACCATGGAAAATTGCAAATCTACGAACGGTGCTCAAACCACTTTTTACGTTTAAGAAAAAGCTATATTAAAGCTATATTATGAAGATAATGTTCAATCCATTTGTCAGAGTTGTGTTTACCTGCTCCTTCTTTGTGTTACTCCATTACAATCAGTCGGTTGTAACATGCAATAAAACCATTTAGAACTGAATAAAGAAAGCCAAAAGCTATTTTCTACTTCAAGATTAAGAAAAGAAAATATTAGGTTAGAAAACATGCAAAACAACCAAGCCAAGCAGATACTATCTCTTTAAACGTAAAGCGCCTATGAAGTTGGCAGGACTATGTTCCAGTAAGCTCCACCATTTCTGCCTCTAGACACTCGTTTAAACTGCTATGTCTGTGTCTAGTTTTCATGACTGACACCTCTGCAGACATAACGCTGTGTGAAATGCTGTCAACATACATTTGGATACGTTTTACTTACAAATGTATTTAAAATAATCCTCTGACAGTATTGAAGCGTGCTCTGATAAACCTCAATCCATAGCTGTGTTAATGTTCACGTAGTTAGTGAGGTGAACCATAGAGCAGAGGTCTTCAACAGGGCGGCCGCGACCCCCAGGGGGTCTGCGGAGGAACTGCAGGGGGGTCGCCACATTTTTAGTTGATAATTTTTTTGTATTTTTATTATGGTTTTATTTTTTTTTCAACCATTTTTTTCCCACAAATTGAAATGTTTTCAGAATCTGAATTGTATTTATTGTCTTTAAATACACATTATTTTTGAGCTTTGCTCTCTTGTTAAAAGATGGCGGACAGAACTCTGTAGAATAGGGGGTCCCTGCTCCACGAATCTGGCCATTAGTTTGGGGGTCCTTGGCCTGCGAAACGTTGAAGACCCCTGCCATAGAGAACGTATGTGGGTATTAGCATATTTACTTTTAGGTAAGGCGTTGGTTTCGATGATGGACAACATATGTTGTAACAATTATATCTGCATGCGTGACAATTTTCTGGGGGGGCTTTTTTGGGGCCACAAATATCCATAACATGGTTTCAGACAGTTCAAAGATCAGAAAGAGTGTGATTTTGCTCTGTAGTTTTTTTTGCATTCAGTATATAATAACACATGAGACAGAATTTCACGGTCATTGTGAAATTTGACAACTACAACTAATATGAACTCTTGAAATGATCATGAAATAATCTACGTAGGGGGGCATCATCCCTTTAATGTTAAGGCTGCTGAATTATCGCAACACATTGTCTACACGGGGATGAGATCGAGTTGGACTAACCAAAAAACACAAGCCAAGTCACAAGCCATATCCTGAAAAGAAAAGCTGCTAAATAAAAATGAAGATTTGCCAAAATGATAGACATGCACAAAGTTGGAATCAACTGATTCATAGTCAGCCAGGGTTTCGTGCTCATTAGCACTGTGACACACGGCCTGAATCAGAGCTCCTCTGGAATATCTTGAAGGTCTGAAAAAGAGAGAAAAAAAATCAAAAATCAGCCCTTGAGAAATTCTGTGGCAGGGACTATCGAAAAATATTCAAAGCCCACACATTATATTGTGTTGTTCTCTTCCCTTAAAAATTTTTCATTGAACAAACAAGGTTATAAATTGCTGAGATGTGTCTGAAAATGATTAAACTAAATCGACTACAAAAACAGAAATATATTAATATTATATCAACCTAAGAAATGAAACAATAACATTTAGGAAATAAATAACTAAACAATAAGGCGGCATGGTGGTGTGGTGGTTAGCACTGTTGCCTCAAAGCAAAAAGGTCCTGGGTTCGACTCCACCCAGTGGGCTTTCTGTGTGGAGTCTGCATGTTCTCCCCGTGTCTGCGTGGGTTCTCTCCGGGTTATCTGGCTTCCTCCCACAGTCCAAAGACATGCTCTGGGGATCAGGCTAATAGGTGACTCTAAATGGCCCGTAGATGTGTAAATGGTTGTATGTCTCTGTGTAGCCCTGTGATTGGCTGGCGACCAATCCAGGATGTACCCTGTCTATCGCCTGAAGTTGGCTGGGATAGACTCTTGCCCCCCCGCGACCCCGTGTGCAGGATAAGCGGTTTGATGATGGATAACTAAACAATAGCTCCCGCAGGGTGCTAAGAGTTAGTTATACTTGCATTTACTGTTGGGCGAATCTGAGGAAGGCAGTTGTAAATTGATAATGATTTACAGACCAAATGTCTAAAGAAAACTGTATTGCTGGTTGGTGTTAACATTACTGTATTGACTCTTTCTATACCTGCTTGAAAATAGATAATTAAACCAAAATCAGACATGTAAACTTTGCAGTCATTGTGTGTTATGTCCTTAATCTGACCCTTGGAGCTTTCAGATTCCGTCCCATCATCATCATCGGACGTCATGTCTACCTCCAAATCTATGCAGTCTTGGAGGACATCGGATTGGTGGGAAGGGTCATGGCTGGCCCACATGGCGTCGGCTCCGGTTAAGACCTAAATGAGAATAAAAATGTAAATCTTTTATTCAAACTTGTTGTTGAAAGTTGACGGGTATGATTACTTCAATACAGAAAGATAAGGGATGTTTGGGGAAATACGAGACAAACCCCGTCCCGTATTGATTCAAAACGGGGCATGCTACTTTATTCTCAAATACGGGACGATTCTGTATTTTAAAGGACGTGTGGCAACCCGAGGTAGGATGTGTCCCCCAAATAAATGCTTCTAAACAAGGAACTAAAAGGTAGGATATTCCTCACTTTAATGAATACTCTACATACTGAAGAGGACACAAACAGGCTGTTAAAGAAACAGAATCCACAAAAAGTGGTAGGAACACACACCGTCTCTTCGTCCATCTTGAACAATTTTCACATGAATCACCTCCAAACCCCACCCCCAATGCTGAAAGTTGTCCCACCTCAGAGACACTAAACATTACATTAACCACTTCCGGATCATTATAAACTAGGGCTGTCAATAGATTAAAAATAATTAACTAATTAATTGCACATTTGGAAATTTCAATCACGATTAAAAGGTTTTAAATCTTACAAATTACTTCAGAAAACGTGTCTATTAGACACAAACTACACACGTGATCATCTTGGAGGCAGAATTTCACCGATTACAATGAACTAGCGACTCTTCCTGCTGTTCTCGTCCAGTTTGATGTGCTCAACTCTTCATCATTTAACGGCTGTGTTTGCCGTCAGTCTCCTGACATTTAGCCGGGATGTTTTCCAAACCACCCTTTAGGGACACAGTGGTGGTCCTTTGCAGACCGTATGCCGTGCAGGGTAGATGTTGAGTGGATGTAGCCTAGCAGCTAGCAAAATGCTCTGTTTGACACGCGGAGGAATTCCTCTGCACAGCTTTCTGCTGCATGTCACAACTCTGTTTATTTTACTGCAAAAAGCTCTCTTCAACTACTGTCTCGCTCTCTCCGATCTAACTGACTGCAGCTAGCGGTAGTTTCATTTCCGGGGTCAACCGGAAGTAAACAAAACTTTAACTGCGTTAAAATATTGACATATTTATTGTATTAATCTCGACCAAATCAATCGCATGGATTAACGTGCTCATTTTTACGGCCTTAATGTCAACCGATTGTGTGTGGATTCTGTCTGTTGAACCTGATGACTAATTATAAAATCAAGTCTTGTTAGTCTCCTAACTTTGTGAAATTGCAAATGCCCTCACTTGAACAGCCTGTTCCCCTAGCTGCTGGGAGGCAGGTGCAGCCCCGCTGCAGACCTTCATGTGTCGAACATGCCTCTCCAGCTTTGCCCGAGCCCTCTCACTATCCTTGAACCGGCTCTCAGCATCCCGCAGCCTCAGAAGCTCCTCCTGCAGCAGGCTGTGTTGTCTCTGTAAAAGAGCCAGCTCCCCGATGCTTGATGCTGCATTGGCCTCCCGATTCACACCATCTCGCCAGAGAGAGCGCCATTGTGCTCCTGCAGCTGGTGCCCCGTAATTCTGTGGCTGCAGTAACAGCTCCAAAATGGAGTCTTGTTTGATGACAGCACCCTGCAGGATAGGGTAGAGGATTCAGTGGGAAAGATTTTGCAGGCTAAAGATGGACAAAATCAATTTAGGAATAATACTTAATCCTTTAATACATGCACACACAAACATGTATCATACAATGTGCTTTCCCAATAAACTGGTACTCAAAGATGTTTAAGAAGAAAGACACAAAAACCCACTCACCTGGAGTGCGTGGAGGTAAACACTGAGATTCACAAGCCTCTGATAGATCCTCTGTTAAAAAGAAACACACTTAGTCTCTCTCGCGGTCTCTTTGTCTCTCTCTCTCTCTGGCCGTGGAGGAGGGGGTGGGTCAGTCACGGTAGCGTGATGTCCATATGCTAGATCAGTGATGGGCAACTGCCGGGCTGCATGTGGCAGCAGCCACAGAATGCGAATGAGAATGCTCTCATTCGGAGTGGCCCCTAGACTAATTTCTGAAAATTAGAAGTGTGTCCTCTACAGCGCCCGATCACTTTTAAGTTGTAATATCAGAATCCACCGCTAGATGGCGCTTCCTATGCTTCCACCGGGTCTTCTCCATCAGCGAGGAAGAGAGGTCAAGCCATGGCGAAAAGCAATGCAAAGAGAAAACCAGAATTGTGTCTTTTCAGGTGAAATGGGAGTGGATTATCCGTTTACCAAATGTAAAGGCAAACCCATGTGCCTAGTTTGCTTGGAGACGCTATCAGCCAACCTAAGTCGCCACTACAACATCTTGCACAATGTTAAATACGAGAAGCTGCCAGGGCTGCTCTCATTGCCGACCTCAAATCAAAAGTACACAAACAACAGCAATGTTTTACCAGAGCCACAACCACACAGGAGGCTGCACTCACGGCGTTGTATGCTTACTAAAGCAAAGAAGCCCTTGTCCGATGGCGAGATTATGTAGAGATGTGCCGTGGAAATGGCCAGAGCGTTTGGTGATGCTAACCTGGTTAAAAACTTTGATACGGTCTCTTTGTCTCGTCGCACAGTGACTAGTAGAATTTTTGACATTAACAATCATGTCGAGGGGAAGATGAAACAAGTTATGCATGACTGCAAGTACTTCTCCCTGGCCTTGGACAAAAGTGCACTTCAAGATTTGAAATGCACGAGGAGTTACTAAAGATGGAGTCTTTGCATGATACCACCAAGGCACGGATATATTCAACGCCGTTAATAGTGTTGCAAACGCTTATGGTGGCTTGGACAAACTATTGTTACGGATGGCGAGACTCACCGGATTCGCAGGGCTCCTTCAGCAAAGCGGAGTGAACTGCCCTATACTGCACTGTATCATACACCAGGTGAGTGAGTAGTCCTATTGATTTGGGGATTTTGAGTGACATGCAGGACAAAGATAGGAACATTTTAACGGTTACTTTATTTATTCCTACAGGAGACCCTCTGCGCCAAGACACTGAACTTTAGCCATGTTACGGACTTGGTGATTAAAGTAACAAATCTCATCCGAAGAGGGAACAGATCCCTCAGTCACAGGAGATTTATAGCATTTTTGGATGACGAGGACGCCGCATATGGGGATTTACAAATGCACACCGAGGTCCGATGGATGAGTCGGGGAAAGTGTCTTGAGCGATTTTTTGCGCTGTGCTCTGAAATTCCAGTATTTTTGGAAGAGAGCGTTGGTGGTGATATGAGTGTCTACTGCAGGAAACTCAAAGACACGGCGTTTCTGTGCATGTGTATGACAGCACTTTGCACTGAAAAAATCACAGTATCTGGTTATTTATTTGTTTGCTTCACTCATTGTGATGTTCAAAAAAACAGTTTGAGATGAAAAGAGCTTTGTGACATGTTGCATACTCCTGCTGGAAGTAGCCATCAGAAGATGTACACTGTAGTCATAACGGGATGGACGTGGTCAGCAACATACTCTGGTAGGCTGCAGCATTTTACCCACGCTATATTGGTACTAAGGGGCCCACTGTGTGCCAAGAAAATACCATTACACCTCCAGCAGCAGCCTGAACACTTGATACAAGGCAGGATGGATCCATGCTTTCATGTTCTTTTCTCCAAATTTCGAGCACACCCGAATGTTGCAGCTGAAATCAAGAGGCAGGCAACATTTTTCCAATCTTCTATTGTCTCATTGTGGTGAGCCTGTGTGAGTTGTTGTCTCAGTTCCCTGTTAGCTGACAGGAGTGGCCCCCGTTGTGGTCTTCTGCTGCTGTAGCCCATCTTCTTCAAGGTTCCACGTGTTGTGTGTTCAGAGATGGTATTCTGCATTCTTTGGTTGTAACGAATGGTTACTTCAGTTCCTGTAGCCTTTTTAAATCCCAGTAGATCAGCAGTGATTCTGCCTATAGTTAGGGCTGACTCAGGTTAGCCCGGACCAGCCCTTAGTTAAGCTGCTATAGGCTTAGACTGCCGGGGGACTTCTTAGGACACACCGAGCTCCTCTCTCACGCTCTCGTTCTACAATAATCCACCTTTTATTAATGCACGTGACTAATTCAGCTTCTTTCTGGGAGTTTTTTTGTGCTTTCTCCCCTAGCAGGTCTCCGTAGATCGTAGTTCCTTCTGGACCCTGGTCCTGACACCTGCCGTGGCCCTGCTGACGCCTGCTGCTGCCATCATCATCATCATTATTATTTTAATTATTAAATCATATTACTGTCATCATAAACCAACATCACCCTCTCCTAAAGTATTTGTGCTCTCCCTCCCCACAGGCTTCTGTGGATGGTGGTTCTATCTGATGGTGGTTGTCCCAGCAGTGGTCCAGCCGTGCGCTTGGCTTGCTACTTTATTTGAATAATTTCTGTCATATGAATTGAATGTATTATTCATCTTCATCTTATTCATTGTTCATTCTGGACACATGACATCCATTATCTGTTCATCTCGGGAGAGCGATCCCTCCTCTGACGTTCTCCCTAAGGTTACTTTTTTTCCCCATTGAAGGGTTTTTCGTTCATTAGCAATTTGTGTTAACAAGCAATTAAACAGGTGTACCTAATAAAGTGGCCGAAGATTTAAATATTATGAGATATTGACTAAGCATTCAAAAACCTCCCCCCCCCCCGCTCACCTTTGATGCTGAGAATTCATTGGCTCCGTTGACCAACAAGTCCTGATCACCTGAGCAAACAACAGCAGTCACTCAGTGTTAGACGCATATGGAATGTCTTACTATTTAATACCACTCATAAGATCAAGATTGATATGGGATTTTGAACATTCATTTATCAGTTTATCGGGCGGCTGGTCCATAGAGGGCAATGGGGCGTGGCCCCATCTTGAATTAAAAAAAAAAAAGATTATCACTTTAAAAATTATATTAAAAATATATTTTACAAATAGTCAATATGTGTCTAATTGTGTTTTTAAAACATGGAATATACCCAGTATTATTTGTTAATTAAGTTATTTGCGCAAAATATATGTTTTTTTTTCCTGCACGTCCGCATGTCTCAGCTGGGCTGTGTCCCAATGAGGCGGGTCTAAGAAGCAGTTTAACCAATCACTGATTAAAGTTGATGAGTGACATAAAGTATTTTGCTTGTGACGTGGCACAACGGAAAATTGTGTAACGGAAATTTCATTGTCCTTTTAATGTGAAGTTGCTTGTACCAACTACAAAAGACACCCCCTTAGCTTTTCAGTGCCGTACGTCCTACAATCAGGGCAATACGGTATTTTCTTGGCTGGATCATAGACCAGCCCATTCTTCACTTTTCTTTTTCGTTGTCTTCTCCTCATATTAGGTTTCATCATCCGTTTTTCTCTTTTGTGTCTATCCTGCAGGTTTTCCTACACCTGCTCTGGTTCCGCCACATCCTTCACTTGCACTGAGCAGGTTGGTTTTATCAAAAGCCTCCACTTGTCACGTGTGTTTGTGCGTCTTTGTTGCTTAGTAACGAGCGTACGGTGGCTGAAAGGGGAATCAATAAGTGCACGATACAACGTTAGTTTATTGTAATGCGTTTTCAGAGAAACGCAGGGACGCGCACACACAAGAGCCCCTTGCGCGTTTTTTCACCCCTCCTTGTGTGCGTCAACGAGCTTTTCTAGACTCGCAGCCCGCAAGGATGTGATTGGTCTGCTAACTACATCCTTTCAGGAGTCTCACATTTCCGGTTTCATAGCATAATACCGCCATTATTAAAACGAAGAGAGAATGAATCAGATTGAAGAGCTTTTGTCCACTCATACAACCCGTCATTGCCGTCATTCTCTAGGTCGTCTTCGCCAAAAAACGTTACTCCACCTATTATTCTGGCGGTGAATTACTTTGCAACACGCGCAACCCTTTAAGAAACATGAATTTAAGTCTATTGACACAACTGTGCAAAAAGCGGCAGATGCAGTTGCAGAACCATGCCAGAGCCGTAGCAGGACAACTTGTTTTGCGTTTCCTTCTCACGGTGTGGTGTGTGAACTAGTTTAAATGTGTGTGTCTCACAGTCAATGCTTGAGGCTTGAGGATCCTGCAATGAGTTTATTATTTTAGAAAAAGGAGCAGGTCCACATGGAGATCTCTGCTGGGCGACCGTCTGTGAACAGTCCTGAGCTGTTAAACGGTTGTTATGGTACGTTCACCCCGAACGCCTCACCAGCGTTTTGCGCCACATGATTTCATACAAAGTCTACGCACAGACGCGATAACGCTGGAGGGACGCAAATCTCCAATTGAGCACCGTGTTTTTTCACGTGGAGTTTGCGCGATTCAGAATATTAATGAATATGTAAATAACTACATATAGTTATTTACATATTCATTAATATTCTGAATTGTTTGAATAAGATGTTCTTATTGTGTTAAATATTTAACATTTATTCCAACAGTTTAATTGCAAAGTAATAATGCGTGTTTGATACCATTTTTTGCATTGAATCATACTGGTTTACTGAAACTGATCGGCTAGCCCTACCAAAATAAAAATCCACTTGCTGCCACTGCATTTGATCTAAATACAATCTTGATGATCATTGAAACGAGAAATCACACAAGTCTTGTACATGTACATGCTTTGGGTCATCAATTATAATATTATTTAATATTTGAGTTGTATTGTGAGTTAGTAAATATTCCGCCCAACCTTACCCTAACTTAATTTGTGTCTGTTCTTTGTCTGTGTGTGTGCGTACAGATTATTATGATTTTGTGTCGCTTAAAAGCAATGATGACTGATGATGAGAGCTTTTAGTGACTCACTGGTGTCCTGCACCTCCATGGGGTTGTGATGGCGTGGAAGAGGGATGTCCACCGTGGATCCCAGAAGGAGCTCACTCAACCTGTCAACTGAGGAAACACCTGAAAATACAATCTTTCCTATTTTCAGAACAATTGCAGAATATCGTGGGAAGACGTGATCCAACATCTTTGGCAATTACATTCTTGTTTACATCTGTTACAAAAATGGCTGGTTACAAAGTACTAATTATCCTGTGTGACGCTTCTGTGATGATGAAAATAGGTCAAACCAGAGTCACACACTGTTCATGTAGGCTACAATGCTTACAGATGTGACGAGACAAAGATGCAAGGACACTCCATGAAAAAATGACTTTAAAACAACACTAATAGTGAAATTAAAAGGGGATATTTTGCCCATTCCAAACAACAATTAAACAAGAAGAAGGGCCATGCTCTAACCATGTGGTCAGAAGTGCACAGCAAAAGTGTGTTTGAGTAGTTTTGGAAACAAATGCCGTTGGAATCTCATTTTACAAATATTACAACAATAGTAATACTAGTGTAGCCAGATTTATATCTGTGCAGATATTTCAGTTTTGAAAATTTGAACAATAGAAAAACCTCACAGCATTAAATTGTTGATTTACAGTTAAGATGTCCTGTTAAATATGCTTCTAATGATTCACTACATGCCTAAAAATGTGTTGTATTGACATTGTGTTCCATCATTACATGAAAGCTGCTTATTATTATTATTATTATTATTATTAGCAGATTTTAAGACAGGTGGGAGGAAGAATACACGTTTACTAGCATTAGCGGTAAACCAGTTTGCCTTGTTTGTGAAGATGACGTGGCCGTAGTTAAAGGATATTGCGTAAGATGACACTATGAGACAAAAAACTTTTGTGACCTTTCTTGGGAAACCTGTAACCTAAACTAGTCCAGGGTTGTACACTGTTTCTACAGCTGGAACCCATATGTGCCTTGACTGATCCATTTCTTGGTTTTCTCTCTGCCTTTTAAATATGATTGCCTGGGTCCCATTAAGGGAGGGTTAAGGGTGTTCTCCTACAACATCAGTGTTTCATACTAAAATCCCTTTGTGCAGAGGTGTCTTCTGATTGGACAACACAAACCTCTGTGATGTGTATTAAAGCATCTAGTCTTCCCAAGAAGCTTGATCAGATCTTCCTGCTCCTTTGAGGAGAAGCAACAGTCTGTCCCTTTTCAGCTGAATTGAGTCATTTGACTTCAGTCTGTTGATTTCTGTATTCTTTATTTATTTATTTCTATATCCTGGTTAGTAATAACTACTTAATCACAAACAAGTTTAAGATACTTTTGATTTCTCATGAGGGCTTAATCCGCAAATTTCCACCACATCAAGTACACCCCATCTTGTGAAAAAGCCTTCCCTCAAAAATCGGGCTATTGATGGGGCTGTTGCAGATCACAAGGGAGAAAATTACCGCTTATAGTAATCCACCACCACCAACAGGTTTTCGTGTCCTTATGGACTCCTAGGTAGTGGAACCCATAATGTCGATTCCCAACATCTTATCTGGGCTTTTGACAGTTTAATCTTTCCAGCTGGTTTCTGATTACCTGCTTTCAGCCTCTGACAAACCCAACAGTCTTGAAAATCCCACTTGAAGGGTTGTCATGATATGCAAGAAGGGTCTTTTGAACTAGACTCAGGGGAATATACTGTAGATCATATAGTGGAATTGGTTTTCTGACATTTAATTTTTTCCAATATACTTTATCTTCCACGTTATCTCCTCGTTTGTGTCCTTCTACTAGAGTAGGCTCCAAGTGATGATCTTTGTGCTGTTCCTCCCAAATTATTTCAAGTGAAAAAAAGGATATCTAGCTCTGTTTCCTTAGGCAGCATCCGATATTAAGATAAAACCTTGAGAGAGCATCAGGAGCACCCCCAGCTTTCCTTTCCTGTATTCCACAATGAAGTCAAACCGTTGTAATGTTAGTGCCCATCTAATCAGACAACTGGTGGTCTTGGTGAAAGAGAGAACCCATTTCAAGGCTGAATGATCAGTGATGACGGTGAAGAGTTTTGCTTCAAGATAGTGCTGCCATTTCTTTAGACCCCAAATGATGGCTAGAAATTCTTTTTCAGTTACAGACCCATAATGCTAGCATCCGTATAGGCCGTGAACGGTAAGTCAGTATTTGGGTGACCCAAGATATGGGGAGAGATCAAAGTGGATTTTAATTGGTCAAAGGCCTTCTGACATGCTTGACTCCAGATGAAAGGTATTTCCATCTTCCTTAGTTAGTTAAAGGGTTGAGCAATGTTTGAAAAGTCGGATACAAATTCATGATTCCATCTCGCAAGCCCTGAGAACCTTTAAACTTCCTTGGGATTTATTGGTACTGGATAGGATCAGATTGCTTCGACTTTCTCGGGATCAGTCCATTACCAGAGACAATATGTCCCAGAAATCTGAGTTCTTGCATGCAGAATCTAGACTTCTTGAGGTTGATTGTCAGATTGGCTTTGCAGTCAATCGATTACTGTCCGTAGACGCTTAAAATGCTGATTGACGAATAAACGATTATGTCATCTACAAGAAAGGACACACACCGCTGACATAGACAAGACAGATTTCACATTTAATTTCCTTCATGCCTTTAAAAGGTGGCTGGGGCATTTGTGAGACCTGAGTTCTCCTGATCTGGAAACTTTCTTCATCAACTGCAAACCTCTTTATTCCCCCCGTGCGTTTGCTTCATTCATCTTGGTCGGTGTTTACATGCCCCCGGCGGGCAACGTGCACGAGGCACAGCGGACACTCGCCGACCAGATACGGCGTGTGGAGCGGACCAACCCGGACTCTTTGTTAAAGTCCCAGAGGACAATAACTAAAGGAAATCTCACACACAAATTCCCTAAGTACAGACAGTTTATTTAATTAAGCTCTGCAAATCTGTGGTGAGGGAATTTAAGTAGTGGACCAGTGAGGCGATGGAGGATCTTCGGGCGTGCTTTGACTGCACGGACAGGGATGTTTTCAGGACTGCTACTGACAGTCTGGATGAGTTCACAGAGGCTGTAACTTCCTACATCGGCTTCTGTCAGGACAGCTGTGTACCATCATGCACCAGGTTGAGTTACAACAACGACAAACCCTGGTTCACAGCGAACAGCAGAACATACAAGAACATACAAGTTTAGCAAGGCGGTGAGAGATGCTAAACGACTGTACTCTGAGAAACTCCAACAACAGTTCTCAGCAAGTGACTCTGCTTCGGTTTGGAGAGGCCTCAAACACCTCACTAACTACATGGCAAAAACCCCCCACTCCATGAATGACCTCTGCCTGGCAGACGAGCTGAATGAGTTCTACTGCAGATTTGAAAGACAATGTCCTGATCCCATCCCCCACAGCTCCACCAACCTGCTGCAGTCCCCCACCGCTGCCCCCCCCAGCCCATCAGGTGCTCACGCCTCTACATCTATATCACCTTCCCCTCCCCCACCAGCAACGACCCTCTCTATTCTGGAGAGAGACGTTAACCGGCTAAAAGACAAAACCCCCGTAAGGCAGCCGGTCCGGACTCAGTTTCCCCTCACACCCTTAAGCATTGTGCTGACCAGCGGTCCGCGGTGTTCACTGACATCTTCAGCACCTCCCTGGAGACATGCCACGTACCAGCCTGCTTCAAGGCCTCCACCATCATCCCTGTTCCCAAGAAGCCCAGGATCACAGGACTCAATGACTATAGGCCTGTCGCCCTGACCTCTGTAGTCATGAAGTGGGGCATGAAGTTTTGAACGGCTGGTCCTGACCCACCTGAAGTCCCTCACCGAGCCCCTCCTGGACCCCCTGCAGTTCGCCTACAGAGCCAACAGGTCTGTGGACGATGCTGTCAACATGGCCCTCCACTACATCCTCCAGCATCTGGACTCCCCAGGAACCTACGCCAGGATCCTGTTTGTGGACTTCAGCTCTGCCTTCAACACCATCATCCCGTCTCTGCTTCAGGACAAACTCTCTCAGCTGCACGTGCCCGACTTCACCTGCAAGTGGATCACAGACTTCTTGTCTGACAGGAAGCAGCACATGAAGCTGGGGAAACATGTCTCAGCCTCTCGGACCATCAGCACCGTTTCCCCCCAAGGCTGCGTTCTTTCCCCTCTGCTCTTCTCCCTGTACACCAACAGCTGCACCTCCAGTCACCAGTCCGTCAAGTTCCTGAAGTTTGCGGATGACACCACCCTCATTGGACTGATCTCTGGTGGGGATGAGTCCGCCTACAGGTGGGAGCCTGACCATCTGGTGTCGTGGTGCAGCCCGTACAACCTGGAGCTCAATGCTCTAAAGACAGTGGAGATGGTTGTGGATTTCCGGAGGAACAGAGCCCCACCCTCCCCCATCACCCTGTGTGACTCCCCGTCACTATTGTGGAGTCCTTCCGTTTCCTGGGCTCCATCATCACCCAGGACCTCAAGTGGGAGCTGAACATCAGCTCTATCACAAAGAAGGCTCAGCAGAGGTTGTTCTTCCTGAGGCAGCTGAAGAAATTCAACCTGCCAAAGACGATGATGGTGCACTTCTACACGGCCATCACCGAGTCCATCCTCTGCTCCTCCATCACCGTCTGGTACGCTGCAGCCACAGCCAAGGACAAGGGCAGGCTGCAGCGCGTCATCCGCTCCGCAGAGAGGGTGATCGGCTGCAATCTGCCGTCCCTGCAGGACTTGTTCGCTTCCAGGTCTCTGAAGCGGGCTAAAAAGATCTTAGCCAACCCCTCTCACCCTGGACAAAAACTGTTTGTGCCCCTTCCATCTGGCAGGAGGCTGAGGTCCATCAAGACTAAGACCTCCCGCCACACGAACAGTTTCTTCCCGTCGGCAGTCGGGCTCATCAACAGAGCCCAGTCCCCCACTGACTGACTATAACATTCCACCGGTCACTCCCCTTCATACTGCACATGTCACTTTGTCGTCACTCGTCACTTGGTCACTTTGTCACTAGTGCACTTTATGCTTAACATTTAACTTTTTTAATATTTTAAATTTTTAACTTTATTCTCTTGTTTTAAACTAACCCATAGCCTTATTCTACTAACCCATTGCA